CCACACTGGGGATCAAGCCCACAACCTGGGCATGTGTCCTTGGCCAGAATCGAACCTGGGACCCTTCAGTCCAAAGGCCAACACTGTATCCACTGAGCCAAACCAGCTAGTACTCTTAATAGTGTTTTTTGAGGAGCAAAAGTTTTAAATCTTGGTGAAGGTAAATTTATTGATTTTTAAATGGTTAATATTTTGGGAGTTGGACCTAAGAGATCTTTGTCTAGTCCAAGGCCACAAAGATCTCCTATGTTCCCCTCTAGAAGTTCTATAATTTCAGCTCATACATTTAGCTCTGTGATCCATTTGGAGTTAATATTTTTCATGTATCGTTGGGATAAAGATCTAAGGTCATTTTTTTTTTTTGCATATGGATATTCAGTTATTTCAACACTATTTGTTGAAAACAATTTTCTCCTTATCAAATTGCTTTTGCACCTTTGTATAAAATTAGTTGTCCATAGCCCTAAATGGTTTGGCTCAGTGGTTAGAGCGTCAGCCTGCAGACTGAAAGGTCCCAGGTTCGATTCCGGTCAAGGGCATGTACCTTGGTTGTGGGCACTTCCCTAGTAGTGGGTGTGCAGGAGGCAGCTGGTTGATGTTCCTCTCTCATCGATGTTTCTGGCTCTCTATCTCTCTCCCTTCCTCTCTGTAAAAAAATCAATAAAATATATTTTAAAAAATTAGTTGTCCATTAATGTGAGATTTTATTCCTGCACTCCCTTGCCCTAGTTGAGGGTCAAAGCAGGTGCTAGGACACCACATTCAAGCACTTAAAGAGAAGGTTGTGTCCACAGTGGAAAAGAGCCTGGAGCGCAGTAGGTGCGTCATGGAGTGTGCCTGGCCGTGGACGGCTCCTGCCACAGCCATTCCTCCTCCTGCTGCTGTTACTGTTAGTTATGTCTCAGAGCTATACTTGCTGCCCTGTCCTGGTGTTTAAGGGAGGTCATGCTGGGACAGATCACCCCAGAGAAGAGTCAGGAGGAGGGGAAATCAGCCTTGTGACCCACAGCCCGGGGAGGGGACAGGAGGGGAAGGGCGATCTAACCCTTTTGTAATCAGGTGTGTGTACTTTAAAAGCATTCTATTATCTTCTTGGAGCTTTGCCATGTCCTTGTGACACTTTTGTTCTCTTTAGTGGAGGAACTAGAAATCAGGTTGAGCTCTTTGTTGCATAGCACCTGGGCCTGGTGCATAGTAGGCGTTCAGTACATGCTTTTGCAAATTTATTATTGAAGAAAGCGACCCCCATCTCCCTAGTGTGCGAGCTGCTTAAGCAGACTGTGCTGTGTCTTATTCTGTGGGGTGTCAGGTCGGGCTTAGAATTTCTGGGTCTGTGCCAACGTAATGGAGGGGTACAAGGTGGGTGTGAAGAGATTTGTGGTGTGTGCTTTTGTGTTGAGGTTGAAACATCTATCTGACCACATTCCATGCTGGTGTTGGTTTATCTTTTCCAGGTCAGGGGCTTGCTGACTCTGATTTGTTTGGTGTCTGAAGGAAAAAACTGAGGCAGGTGTTCTAGATGAGGGAGGATGCTTGTGTGACTAAGGGTGTCCTTTGTCACTAAGGGCATTCTGGTTCCACGAGCCATCACTATCCAGGGGAAGTGAACTTGTGTTGGTGGCAGTGGGATGGGGGTGAGAATAGGGGCTCACCTCCCCATTCAAAGACCTGTACCATCATTATTGGCATCAGAACATTCACCTTCCCCAAATGTCACCTGTGCCATTTACATAAGAACTAGTTCTGTGCCCCTGCTCTTATCAACTTGGTTTGGAGTTTATTGTTGTGAGAGCTATATAAATGAGCTGTATTTTCTAATCTTCTGTAGTTAAAATTCAGGTAAACACAACAAGAAAAAAACAGCAACAAAAGGCTTTTAAGTTGGCCATGGCGGGGTAAGGGGCTTAGAATTTGCTTCCCCGAAGAAGAAGCAGAGGGTGGCTTGGGTTTAAAAGCCTGCCATTGGCACGGGGACCTGCGGCTCCCTGGGCTGAGATTCGTCAGGCCTTGATGTTTGGGTGTCGCTCCCCCTCGGGGGTTTGAGAGGGCCTGGAGCTCTGCATGTTTGTCTTTGAGGTCCCACTTAGTTCCATGTGTGTGGCAGGGGACCTTTCATAGTTTCTCTGGGAATTGTTGAGAATATCGTCACTTCTGCTTCAAATAACCTGGCCTCTGTCAGCTCCTGCCAGAGGAGCTGGGCTTTGTTGAACTTTCACATCAGCCCTGCCATGTGTGCAGGCATATACAGAACTTTTCTTGGCCCTTTGGAATTGTGTTCTCTGAAGGCCTGCAAGCCTGGCAGTTGAAGAAAGCCCAAGTTAGTGTTGGTCTGGTCAGATGGCCAAGGGCCTTTTACCCTGCCACGAAAGTGGCTGCTGTGCCGCCCAGGATAAAAGGGGTGTGTGCGCTTTCTTCCTCTTAGTGGGGTGGTTTTTACTGTGTTTACAACTCACCGTGTTGAAGTAGTAGTCCCCAGAAGCCCCCTGGTGCCCCTTCACAATCTTCTTCCTCCCTGGGAAACCCCCTTCTGATCTCACAGAGCTGGAGGTGAGTTTGGCCTATTTTTAAACTTGATATAAACAGAACGGACACTCTCCCTCCACATTTGACGACGAGAGGCCCTGGTACACACAGTTCATGGGCAGTAGCTGCTTTCCTCTCATTGCTACGTGATCTTCCAGTTGATGCTCCTGTGTGTTTGTTCATTCACGTGGGGGAGGGCTAGGGAAATTCCTGGTTTCGTCTCTTATGCAGAATGCTGCCATGGCCCTAGCCAGTTTGGCTCAGTGGATAGAGCATCGGCCTGTGGACTGAAGGGTCCCAGGTTCAGGTTGTGACCAAGGGCATATGCTCAGGTTGCAGGCTGGATTCCCAGTAGGGGGTTTTTTCAGGAGGCAGCCAATCAATAATTCTCTCTCATTGAGATAGTTCTCTCTGTCCCTCTCCCTTCCTCTCTGGTGGAGGCTGTTCTAGAAAAGAGTATAAGCTGGGGAGTATCCTCCCTCCGTAAAGGTGGCTGCAACAAATTATGGAAACCCACGAGAAGCAAAATCTTTGCTTAGTGCTCCTTCTGGATGGAGGCTGAGAGCTTCTAAAATCGTCCTGCTGTGTTAGATAGGCTTTCCCACTGTAGGAGGCTGGTAAGCAAATGCTTATCAGGAGTCTTTTCACCTGTCCAAGGCTCCTTGTATCCTTAGGGCATCCTGAGCTGTCCTGTTACTCTCTCAGTCTTCAGCCAGTGTACTTCTCTGAGGCCTCACCTGTTACAGATGGGGACACGGGCTCAGGGAGGTTACGTGTGCTGAGTCACTGGCCTGCATGTGGCAAGCAGAGAAGTGCTGTTCTGTGCACATGTGTGACTTCCATGAACAGGGAGATTAGAAGTGGGTGAGACTCCCTTCGAGTCAGTCTCTTCTCTCACTGTTTGGGAACAGGCTGTGGGGCTGCTCCTGGCAGAGTGTTCTCCAGGGCCTAAAGATGTTTCCTAAGATTAGTACTCTGGAGACTCGTGTTCTGATCTCGTGTTCTGATCTCCTGGTAATCAGGCCTGAAGTTGGAACCAGAAACAGCTGTCTTGTCACCGAATGAGAAATTTCAGCTGGTGGAATCAATAAGCGATTCCTAGCCTTTAAGATCCCTTTCCATTGGAGTGGGGATGATGAATGGAGCAACTGAATGAAATCCATACCAATGTCCCAGGTCCCAGGGCCAGTTGTGTTTCTTAGGAGGGGGACATGGACCCTGTCTTTATTAATGTCATTTATTTGGCAGAAATCATTATGATTTATAATAATAAAAAAATATATATATATATATATTTGGCCCGGCCATTGTGGCTCAGTGGTTGAGCATTGACCCATGAACCAGGAGGTCATAGTTGGATTCTGGGTCAGGGCACATGCCTGGGTTGCAGGGGCATGCAGGAGGCAGCCTATCTATGATTCTCATTAGTGATGTTTTTCTCTTTCCTTCTCCCTTCCTCTCTCCGAAATCAATAAAAACATTGACAACCTGGTTGGACCTTGAAGGTGCCAGGAGGAGGTTATAGCAGGAAATTCGGAGCCAGGGACCTGTCTCCCACGTGAAAGGCCTTGTAGAGACTGTCTGGCTTCGTGCTGGCTCCGTGTTTGATTCTGCCTTTTCCTGAGCCTCCCCTCCCATGAGTTCCAGTCTCAGGACTCACGGGGGAGTCAGATATGAATAAATAATAACTTAGATTCAGAGCTTGGATTTGGGGTTGTAGGAGCCTACTTAGTCTGGGGTCAGGGAACATGTATTAGTCTGCTGGGGCTATCATAACAAAGCACCACAAACCGGGTGGCTTAAAAAAGCTGAATTTATTCTTACAGTTATGGAGGCCAGAAGTCCAAAATCAAGGCATCGACAGGATTGGTTCCTTCTGAAGGCTGTACGGGAGGATCCTTCCTTGCTTCTTCCAGATTCTGGTGGTTCTAGGCATTCCTTGGCTTGTGACTACGCCACTCCAATCTCCAGTCTCCTCCTCCGTCTTCATACTTCCTCCTTCCCTCTGTGTGTGTCTCTGTTTCCAAATCTCTCTCTTTCTCTTGTGAAGTCTGTCACTGGATTTAGGGCCCCCATCTAGTCTGATGGGGGCCCTATTAACTTGTTTACATCTGCAAAGACCCTATTTTTGACTGTCACATACACAGGTGCTAGGGGTCTGGACTGAAACATATTCCTCTGAGGGACACAACTCAACCCCCTGGGGAAGGAAGCGATGTTGGTGTTGGTACTGGATGAGTCCCTGAGCTGGGAGGAGAGTTCCTGGAGGGAGAAGGGTGTTGGGTAGATGCAGAGGTGGAGCAGGCTGGGAGGAAGGCCTGAGGCCTATGTCTGGAGCCAGAGTGGGAAGGACAGCCCATGATAGCTTCTCTCCGAATAGAGCTTTTCTTAGGGCTGAGCCTCTTCAGCCATCAGGCCTCTCACTGGATTCTTTCGAGCCTTAACCTAAAGTTGTTTATGTTTTTGTTTTAAACCAGGAAACTATTTTGCTACACATTTTTTCATGGGAGGTGAGAAGTTTGACACCCCCCACCCTGAAGGTTATCTCTTTGGAGAAAACATGGATCTGAACTTCCTGGGCAATCGCCCAGTCCAGGTGGGTCTCGGCAGGGCTGGGCATGTGGGTGGGGAGGGGGAGGTCCCTGCCTTCAGCCATCTGTGTCCCAGCTGCAAGGATGAGTCAGTAGTGAGTCACCCCCAACCAGGCAGAGCTGCCAGCTGGTTGTGTGCACATGGCGTGTGCATGGGGCGTGTCCTGGCGATATTCCCTTAGAGGCAGGGGAACCAAGGGTGGGACACTGAGGACAGAGCAGCCGCTGTGGAGCCTGGTGCATCCATGCTATGAAGTTATGGAAGTTAGGGTTTTGATCCTTTGAATGGCTTTATTTGAAAAGAAAAAGAACAGTGGAGCAGAGGGCAAGAGATATGATCCAAAGAAGAAATGTAAACGGCTGGAGAATAATTTTTACAAGTTCTCCTTCACTAGTCAAGTGTACTCATTGCGTTCCATTCGTCCAGTGTACATTTGGCACTTATTGTGTCCCTGGGATCCTGCCAGGGGCTGGGGACAGAGGACAGATCTTGCCCCATTCCCTGGGGGGGATGCTGACCATAAAGAAGAGAGCAGTTGCCCTGGCCGGTTTGGGTCAGTGGATAGAGCTGTGGCCTGTGGACTGAAGGGTTCCGGTTTCAATTCCAATCAAGGACACCTGCCTCAGTTACAGGCTCGATCCCTGGCCCTGGTTGAGGGCATGTGGGAGGCAACCAATCAATGTGTCTCTCTCACATTGATGTTTCTCTCTGTGTGTCTCTTCCCTTTCCTTCCACTCTCTAAAAATCAATGGAAAAATATCCTCGGGTGAGGATTAACAGCAACAAAAAAGAGAACAGTTGACATAGGAGAGAGGAGGGCGGGAGAGGGCTTTTGAGGGGGACACGGAGCCGGGTTCAATCCCCAGTGTAAGGGGCCAGGCGGAGGCCCTCTCTTTCAGGAGACACTGGACTCCACCCCCTGAGGTGGGTGAGTTCTGGGGCCTCCCTGACCTGGGAGTTGGCCTGTGGACTGAAGGGTCCCTGCGAGGAAGTTCCTCTGGACCAAGGTTCTCCAGGCTGCTTTGACCCCGGAGCAGCTGGTTGACATGAAACCTTGAATGGATCCTTGGATCAAGGAAGGGTTAGGGTGCTGGCCTCTGCCACCCTCCCAAGCCCATGAGAGTGAGAACAGAACCTCACCTTCCACATCTCTGAAGCCTCAGCTGTGACCCAAGGTCTGGCTCAACAGGCCTTGTGTGAATTTGTGTGTTGTTTAACTTTTACATAAGACCACCATAGATTCACCTGCACTTGTAGGAAATAGCACAGAGATTCCATACACCCTTTATCCAGTTTTCCCTGGTGATGGTGTCTTATAAAACCTCAGTGCGCTCTCATAAGCAGGAAACTGATATTGATGCATCTCCATTTTCCAGATGCCACCAGTTTTACAGCAGTGTGTGTGTGTGTGTGTGTGTGTCCCTACTGGAATCTTTATTGACCATTGAGCTTGAATAGAAAGCCTGGTAATGAGGTCTGAGAGCCCCAACCTCAATCGCTCCCCCAGGATCCCTCAGGCCAGGTCACTTTCATTGAGAGTACTTGGAATAAGGGCACCATGGCCACATGGCCAGACTCCTTCAGGATTTTCTGGTCCTGACTCTCCTTTGCCAGCCATGCTGCCTGCAGTTTACTTTGATGTGAATGAGACTAATGTCATCTAGTGGTTGGCATGAGAGCTCTGGAGCACCGGGTGTGTGCTTGCATTATCCCTGTTTTCTATCCCCTGCCATACTGGGGAGTCATTGGGATTGCTTTCTGTTTTTCCCTCCTAGTTTCCTTATGTCACCCCCGCTCCCCATGAGCCAGTGAAGACGCTGAGGAGCCTAGTGAACATCCGAAAAGACTCGCTTCGGCTCGTAAGGTAACCCTTGACCTTGCCACATTCTTCAAACTAGGGGTTCACAACCAGGTGACTGTGCCCCATGATGTTGGACTGTCTGGAGACATTTTTGGTTGTCACAGCTAGAGAGGGTGGTGGTATTCCTGGTATCTGGTGGGCAGAGACCAGGGAGGTTATGAATACCCCAACAGAGCACAGGATGCCCCCACAGCCAAGAATGGCACAGTTCTGACCGTCAGGGTTGATAAACCGCATTAAACCAAAAGACTTGAGGCTTCTGGGGCCATCTCCAACCCAAGAGAACTTGTCTCCCTTCCCGTGACAAGAGAAGGAGAACCTTGCATTCGTGGGCCTTATTGTCCAAACGGAGTGGGCATCCAGAAAGGTGAGATGCAGCCAGGCAGCCAACTCAGGGCCCTCTGGGGTATGGCGTGCGCTGTGCAGGCTGGCCATGTTCCTGCAGGCATGCCCCCTGACCTACTGCCTGTCCCTCTGCTGCCTGGAAGGTATAAAGATGGTGCCAACAGCCCCACCGAGGACAGCGAGAAGCCCCAAGTCCTCTACAGCCTGGAGTTCACCTTCGATGCTGATGCCCGGGTGGCCATCACCATCTACTGCCAGGCGGTGGAGGAGTTTCTCAACGGGATGGCTGTGTGAGTCCCTGTGGCACATGGTGGGCCCCGGCAGCTCTTCGTCTGTCTGAATTAATGTATTTGAACTTTTAGAGGTTTTATTTGAAATAGGGTCTTTTGGACCCAAAAAGTTTGAAATCTGCAACTTCAGCACAACCACAGCTGGCCGCCACCAGTCTGTGGTAGTGCCATTCCCAGAGGGGACGGGCAGAATGCACCCGTCTGTCCTGTGGCAGCCAGACTTGATCTGGGGATGGAGTGGTGGTTGAGAGTTTTGGCTTTGAGTCTTTTTGCACATGAGCAACCACAGTGCCAGTTTCTCAGGCCAGATGTGCCAAGGTCCTTGAGAGTATCCTTTGTCCTAGAGACAGAGAGCAGCCCAAGGGACAGCAGGTATGGGGTGGGGCACAGGGAGGCAGTGAAGGTTGTGTGTTGGATTCTTGAATGGGGAGATGCCAAGTTTATCAGAATTGAAAACATGTACTCTTTGACCCAGCCATTCCTTTCCTGGGAATTTATGTTGGGGATATGCTTACATGTGTGGCTAAGATGTATGCAGAAGCAGGTCCTAGAAGCCTTGTTTGGAAAAGCAAGATACTGGAGACCACCTGGTGCTCACCAATAGGGGCCTGATTGCATCAGTTAGAGTAAAACTGCAGTGGAACCGATGCAGTGTTCAGAGGACACGGCACCTCCATATAGGGTGGCTATAGGACAGCTTGGGCGCATGAGTATTGAAGGAGCAGAGTGTTGGTGGGCTGCTGTTGGAATATTAAAGAAGAGGCACCCATGCATGACTTGGCCTGAGCTCTTCCAGGCGTGGTGCCTGGGTTGTGGATGGGCAGGGAAGCAGGTGGCTGGGAGCAAATACAAGGGTGTGGGGCTTGGGAGGGCACTTGGCACTGCCAGGCAGTGGAGGAGTTTCTCAATGGGCGAGACAGTGTACATTTTTGTGCCATGTTTGTTCAAAAAAGTCAACAAACCATAAAAAGCAAATGGAAGGGCATAGCTATATCTGGAAAGGTAGCCATGTTATCTGGCAGGTGTGGGCTCTGGAAGATTAATAACCAGGTTGGACAGAGCTGTGGTGAGCAGAGTGAGACCTTGGAGGCCCTCGGGGTGTGAGGGCCATGTGGCCACATAGACTGGCTTTTTGCCCCACCAGAGAAGGGCTGGGACTTAGAGGGTGGGACCTGTAAGTCAAGTTTATACTAGGTCCCCAAAAGATCAGTGCCTGCCAGTCCCTGCCTCAGGGCCTGTGGTGGTGGGGATCGTCCCGAGGACAGTGGCAGCAGGGCATTGGCTCCTGGCAGTCTCACCTTCCTTTCTCTCCTTTAGGTACAGCCCCAAAAGCCCTGCCCTGCAGTCCGAGACTGTCCACTATAAGAGGGGGGTGAGCCAGCAGTTCTCTCTGCCCTCCTTCAAGATCAACTTCTCAGAATGGAAGGATGATGAGGTAACCTCCTGACCTCTTGCCTGAATTCTCTCCCCTTTGTCAGGGAAAGCACGGTGTGGCCTGTTTGTTAAGATTCCTAACATTGGTAAGCATCGGGAGTAGCTGTGGACCAAGGTGTGTGTGTGCTCATTTGGGCATGTGAAGTGCAGCTCAGTCAAAGTGTTGACTGGACTGAATGATCGAGGCAAGACAGCCAGCCACAGCAGAGGCTCCAGTACCCAGCTTTGGTGTGGTTGTCAGGCCCACAAGACTGCAGCGTGGCAGAATCCCTTCCACCTAATGGTTCTACAGTTAGGGACAGTAATTTATAGGATGTGATGGGTGTGCAATGCCGCTCTGTCTATAATAGTAAAAATTGGAAACAATGTACAATAGTAAAAATTGGAAACAATCCATCACAAGGGAATTGCTTAGTTTACTGGTGTTATGGGAGCCACCATCTATATAATAAAAGCCTAAATGACCATATAGTGGAATGACCAGACTACTGGTTACTATGATGCACACTGACCACCAGGGGGCAGACGCTTAATGCAGGAGCTGACCCCTGGTGGTCAGTGTGCTCCCACAGAGGGAGCGCCACTCAACCAGAAGCCAGACTCATGAGGCAGCGCTAAGGAGCAGTGAGCAGGCAGGCAGAAAGGCATGAAGGGTCCCAGATTGCGAGATGGATGTTTGCCTGCTGGCTTAGGCCTGATCCTCATGGGAGCGGGCCTAAGCCAGCAGGCAGACATCCCCCAAGAAGTCCCAGACTGCGAGAGGGCGCAGGCTGGGCTGAGGGACCCCCCCTCTTTCCTGCCTCCAGTGCACGAATTTCATGCACCAGGCCTCTGGTATACTTAATGTGGACTCCCTGGCTCATGTCTATTATGGGATGCCATGCAGTCTTAAAGCACATGAGAGATCTGTGTATTCTGTACATACTCATGTGGGAAGCCTGTTCTGGGCTTGAAGAAGACCAGGTTGCAAACAAATGCAATATAATCTCATGTATGTGGCATCCACAAAAATGCACAAAACTATTTCTGCAGGTATAATGTACATGTATGTAATTCTTGAGGAAAAACCAGAAAAGAAGCTCATCAAACTGAAGAAAGTTATTTCTGCAGAGGGTTGTGGTGTATGGAATACATACATTGATATGTATACCAGGCCTGTGTCTGTGGGGTCTGCATTCATGGATTCAACATGGATGGAAAATATATTTTTTAAATATTATGTTGTTGGTAATGTGTACTATGTAGTTAGGCCTATGATAGGATGGTTATGTCTGTACTGAACATGTACAGACTTTTTTTTTTCTTGTTTTATTCCCTAAACAATACGGGATAACAACTATATAGCATTTACATTATATTAGGTACTGTAAGTAATCTAAAGATGATTAAAAGTATCAGAAAAGATGCATGTAGTTTATATGCAAATACTACTCTATTTTATTGAAAGGACTTGAGCACCTGAGAAATTTGGTATCCGAGGGGGGTCCTGGACCTCAGAGCTCATACTGAGAATAGACTGTATAGTGTGAGTGTTGACACTGTACACACTTCTGTACTATTTTTATTTCATTTTTTTGTTTTGTTTTGTTTTTTACAAATTTATTAAGGTATAATTTATATACCAAAAAATTCACCCATAGTTTTATTTAGAGATTTTGATAAATTTATGATCACAGCTATTAACCATCCAGTTTTAGAATCCAGTTTCCATCCTTCTTATAGGATCCCTCCTGCCCATTTACAGTTAACCTTTGTTCCAGACCCTGGCAAACACTTATCTACTTTCTGTCTCTTTAGATTTGCCTCTTCTGGAAATTTCATATAAATAAAATCATATATTAATTGACCTTTTGTATCTTTTACTTAGCATCATTGTCTTTTGACTGTTGGCTACTTTACATAATGGTACTATTTTGTATATAAATTTTTGTTTGAATGCATGTTTTCATTTGTCTTGGCTATAATTTGCTATTTATTTATTTTAAAATATAGTTTTATTTCAGAGAGGAAGAGACAGGGAGAGAGAAATAGAAACATCAACAATGAGAGAATCATTGATTGACTGCTTCCTGCAAACCCCACACTGGGGATCAAACCTGGGCATGTACCCTTCCCACGTTGCCCAGAGGTCCAGAGTGACTGGGGCAGTATGGAACACCTGCTGTGCGATGCAAGTGTGTGTCGTGCCCCCCACTGCCCCCACCGCCTTCACTGCTCTGTGCCTGCAAATGCAAACTAACCTGCCATCTTTGTTGGGTTAATTTGCATAGTCACTCCTGATTGGCTGGTGGGTGTTGTGAATGTATGGTCCATTTGCATCTTACTCTTTTATTAGTGTAGATATTACAACATGTTTCCAGGTCAGTGCTCACAGACCACCTCAAGATAAGAGTAGCCCTCTTATCCCCCTTGCTAGTTTCCCTCTTATCCCCCTGGGGGGTCCCATATATTTTAGTCAAAGCCACGTTTCTTTCTTCTTCTGCCCTTTGCCTTTTTCCTATTTTCTGGTGTCCATCTGGCCTGGGGTTTGCAAAGACCCTGTCTGGTGGGGAGGATCTCTGTGCCCAAAGAGCCCGGGTTGCCAGAGTGCCAGGCCCCCGCCAGGCCATGTAGGGAAAGAACAAAGAGGTTGCCAGGAAGCCTGTCAGTGACTCAAGCTGGCATCAGCTGCCTGGTTCTTTCTCCTGATTTAGGAAGTTGCTTTTCCTTAAGAAAGCTTCTTTCCTTGCAGTAAAAATAACCTATCCCTCAGGTTCTCTGTGGTGGGTGGAAGCCTTTGTTTTTTTCCAGCATGCTTAGCTCTGACCGTGTGGAGCAGGAATTTGTGGGGAGATGGTTCTTGCTTCCCAGGTCCCCACACTCCTTGGGCCCCTCCTTGTTCTGTCAAGGCACTCTAAGCACGGCCCAGGACCCAGGCCATATGCGCATGGAGATCCGGGGTCACAGTACCCCCCTGGTGTCCATCTCTGTTCCCCTGGCCCAGCACTGAGCCGACCAGTGTAGGTTTCTGCTGGAGTTACCTGAATTAGTTGACCAAAGGCACTCTGACACCCTTGGGCTCTTTGGGCACAGGGATCCTCCCCACCAAACAGGGTCTTTGCAAACTCCAGGTCAGATGGGGAAACAGGCTGGGTTAGGGAGCTACACTCTGACCTGTCCCAGCACCTGGCCCCCTTCCTAATCCTGCCTCCCACCAATGGCCTGGGACCCCCAGGCACCTTCCAGGCCTCTCTTGTGCAGCCCCTGCTGTGGGTGTCCTCAGTTGGCTGTCTCTGTCCTGTGTGCTCGGTGTGACCTGCCCAGGTGGACGGGTGGGAAGTAGCGTGGCCTCCAGCTTGAAAGTGGCTAGGACCACAGGGATGGAAGCTGGAGGAGAAGGAAAAGTGACAGAAGGTTTCTCCTTGAGTTCAGACCAGCCACGTGGTCCCTTTGCTTTCCTTCCATCTTGGGTTGGGGCCACACCAGGTACTTTCTTCTTAAGGTTGAACACAGTTCCATGTGACCCAGCATTGCACGCCTGGTGTGCCCAGGTGAACTGAGAATGTCTCAAACAGCTGCTTATCCAGCATTGTTCATCTCAGCACTGGCCATGGCAGCCAGAGGGGGAACAACCCAATTGTCCATTAGAGATGACCAGTCTGGCCACACAGCAGAATATTACTCAGCCTTGAAAAGGAGAAAGCACTAACATGCTGTCGCATGGGTGAGCCTAGAAAGCATGCTGAATGAAAGAAGCCAGACAAAAAAACTGATAGCAAATGATTCCGTTTCTATGAAATGTCCAGAACAGGCAAGTTCTTACAGAGTATAGAGTGGGGGCAAGGGGATAATGAGAGTAGTATGTTAATGGGAATATGCGTTCTGTTGGGAATGATAAAACGTTTGGAAATGGATGGTGATGATGGAAGCAACACCTTATGAATGTACTTAATGCCATAGAATTGAATACAAACTTGCCATTTTAAACATTTTTATCTTTCAACACACACCACACACCACACACACACTTACACTCACACTCACACTCACACAGGCACAGCAAGGGCTCTGTCCTCGCTGCTGTCGGTCCCTCAAGCTCTGCTGTGAAACCACTCTCCCTGCACCTTCTCCAGTGCAGTCTACCCATCTCGCCTCCTTTTCTCCTCAGCTGAACTTTGACCTGGACCGGGGAGTGTTTCCAGTGGTCATCCAGGCCGTGGTGGACGAAGGAGACGGTGAGAAGCCTTTTTCCTTTCCTACTCCCTTCCAGCGAGTGCACCTTGTGGGAAGAACCATTTCCCAAGGCCCTCCCCGCTGTTAGCAGGGAGGAATGTACCCAGAAGTGATGAAGGATGGAGGAGTCTTCCTAGCAGGTTTAGGACCAGCCCTCCATCTCCGCTCTGGAGCCCCCGTGGTACTTCTCCTACCCGGGGCTGCAGGGCCTCACTCCAGCTCAGGAATTTCTGGCCAGCCGGTTCCCACCCCCCGTGGCAAGGTCCTATGCCAGTGCCTCGCTCTCGTGGTGGTAACATCAGCTAGACAGCCTCCAGGTCTGTCTGCTCTGCAGTGGAATGATGGAGTCCGTTAGCAGGGAGCAGCAGAGATCTGCAGGTCCTCCTCAGGCCACGCTGGGTTCCTAACTGACCCAGCCAGGCCTGCCCAGTCTCCCTTCCACTGCTGTGGGCTTCAGGCTCCCAGCCTGGGGTGTGAATGCCGGAGCTCTGCCAGGGCTCCTCAGCCCTGCCTGACATGTCCCTTCTGTTCAGAGTGAGGCAGCAGGTGTTACGAATGGTCACTTTGGAGGAGGGGAGAGATGTGAGCCAGAGGCAGGTTGGGCCCCCAGTCAGAGGAAGGTTCTAGGCAGCAGGCTGAGAGCGGGAAAGCACTGCTGAGAGGAAGAAGAGGAAGATGGGGTGGGGCCGGCAGCGCTCTGAATGCTTTCTCCTCTCTCCTCTCCTGGGCAGTTGGAGAGGTGACTGGCCATGCCCATGTGCTGTTGGCTGCCTTTGAAAAGGTAAGTGCCATCCTGCCCCTTGATCTGGGAGTTTTGGGCAGAGGAGTCTGAACTTGGGGAATTTGCCAGGCCATGTGAGCTGAGTGCCTGAGGCCCAGGGCCGATGGAAGGTTCCCTAGTCGATCCAGGCTCCCGGGGAGATGATGCATTTCAGGAGGCTGGGCCTTGAAGTCGAGCGTCACCATCAGGCTTTTCCTAGGGCCTGTGGTGTGTGGTGGGGGCGTGTTCTGGGAAGCCAGTCCTCTACAAGTCCCTGTAACCTGCCAGTACCCGGAGCGGGGTGCCCACTTGGAGGGCTCGGGTCAGACCAGCTTCCCTCTGGGATTTGAGGGCATTGTCCAGGCCACTAGCTCCCAGGGCAGACATTCATTGCACTCAGTGTCCGGGAGGGTAGAATGGCCCTAGCTTGTTGTAGCCTCAGTATGCAGTAGGTGCTCAGTGAGTGCTGGGGGGGGGGGGTGAAGGTGCCACCTGCATTGTATAGTCCTGGACCTCTGTGGGTGGTGGAGGGAAAGGAGGGTTCCAGTTAGGGATACCCCACGTGTAAAGGGGCCATCTCTGTGAGAGGGCTCATTTAATAGTGCCCGTAGTCTGCATTACATATATTTGAACTGCTTTCCACAAAGATCTGAGTCCCCAGGCTGCCCAGGTGTCCATGTGTTATGGCTGTGTTTGCGGGGGCAGTTGGTGGCAAGGACGGTGTGCCTCACCACTGTCTCCACATTAGGATGTTGCTGGGTAGAGACAGTCCCACTGGCCTGTCACTACTGGTCCTGGGGCTAGGCAGTTTGTGTCATCCATGTAGTGAGTGAGCCCCCTGCTGTGCTGGGACAGGGTCCCTGTTCACTTAGACCTTTAACAGAGGTAGTGGGGTATGTCCTGTGTTTGAAAACGCTGCGCCTGACACCCTACCCCCAGGGCTCTCTGATTTTGGCACCAGTCAATGGCCTATGGGGATGAGGATTAGGGACCTCATGAGGAAACCAGGCCCAGTCTACTTGTTTTGGAATTTCTTTCCACTCCTGGGCATCCTGCTGACCCCCAGCTTCTTCAGCTGGGTGTGTGTCTGCAGTCCTGAGATTTCTACGCGCAGAGACTGGCTCATTCCTGTGATCTGGGTCATTCCAGATGCCCAGAGGTCAGTATAGCCAGGCCTGAGACGTTTCTGGCCCCTTTGCCAGGTGTTCTCCCTGGCCTCCTGAGGTGGTGGCGATGCCAAGTGCCCGAGCGGAGATTGGCCCTCTGCCTCTCCAGTTCTGGGCTGCCAGCTGTGCTCTCTAAGCCTGGCTGGAAGCGACAGGAACTATTTACCCATCTGCTTCTCTGGCTGAGGTGGATGGGCCTTCGCTGGCAAACATTTCATCTGCTGTGCTTCCAGTTTAGAGCTCAGTGAGAAACTGTGTTATTTTTGGAGTCCGACTTAACTAGAAACTTCTGTAGGAACCCGTCAGCTTTACCAGAAAATGCACATGTACCTTAATTAATCTTGACGACTCTGAGTAGTATGTCTCCCAGATACCACTGAACGCGTTTGCTCTAGTTTGTTCTCACAGTTTTTAGATCTTTGGGTTTTCCCCACACAGTGCTTGGCTTCTGGCCTTCTGTGGTGGGCAGCACCACCTGGCCCAGCGTGTGCACGTTCTGGAGCTGTGTCTCTAGGTCAAGTCCTTTGAGGGCCAGGACTGGGGTCTAGTTCTTGCCGTCCTGGGGCTGCTTCTTGTCCATCATCAGAACTTGGCTGGTGGTTGTGAACTTGAGTGTGCTTGAGAGCTACGCAGGGGGGTTGGTTTTTGTAGGACAGGGTGGGCCCCGGGAGGTGATATCTTTAGAAGGTGCTCAAGGCCAGGTCAGAGGCTGCATTTGGGTCTTCAGGCTTCACATGGTCCCTCCTTTCTCCGGCCATGGATGTGGACTGACCAAGGAAGGGTCTTTAGCTGGCTGAGCAGTGCCACGTTAACCTGTGCTTTCCTCCCTGCAGCATGTTGATGGCAGTTTCTCCGTGAAGCCGTTGAAGCAGAAGCAAATTGTAAGTCTGTCAGAGGAAATGTCATTAGCCCTTTTGATTCAAAAGACACATGTGCACACCCATCCAGTAGTCTCCGGGGATTATTCTCTCTGCCCACCACGGTGGCTGTCAGTAGCTAGTGACAGGCCTGTTGACTTGTCTGTCATCGTTGTGGGCTCTGGGAAGTCAGGGTCAGGGTCGTCGGGTGTGTGTATTGCATACCCACCATGCACAGCAGTATTGACTGTGGTAGCCCTGAGTCTTGTCCAGTGTGAACATCATAAGCTTTCAGTAACTGTTCGCTGAATGAAGGAACGAACAAACGTACAGAGGAAGGAAACTGGAAACAAACCGATGCCTCCCTTCTTCTTCCTCCTTACAAATTACGGAAAATACCTCAGTGTCAGGCAAAAATGGATTTACTTAATATTTGAGAGGAAAGATGGAATATTTTGGAACAAGTGGGAGCTGTAGAGAAGTACAGCTTTTCGGTCAGTAATCCCTGGGCCTGCACCAGGATGAAATATTCCGGCGTCCTCCACACGGTGAACATGGAGAGAGGGGTCCCCTGAACTGTGCCATGTTGCCTCTTGATGTTGAGTCTGATTTTTTTAATTTTTATTTTATTGATTTTTAACAGAGAGAAAGAGAGCTAGAAACATCGATGAGAGAGAAACATCGACCTGCTGCCTCTCGCACACCCCCTACTGGGGATGTGCCCACAACCAAGGTACCTGCCCTTGACTGGAATCGAACCCAGGACCTTTCAGTTCACAGACCCATGCTCTCTCCACTGAGCCAGACCGGCTTAGGCTTGAGTCTGATTTTAACAATGGCCACAGTTGGGCCTGTTTCCAGTCCATGGTTAGGTTATTTTTGTAGGTAGCTGCTCAGGTGTGTATGCCACCAGGAATGGTGTTGGTTAGTTTTTTAAAAGAGGGACAGGGGAACTCTGGCACATCCAGACTTGAAGGTTACAGAAGGGCTGGAGATCTAGGGATGGTCAGGGCACTTGTCTTGGGAGAGCACTATGGCTCTCAGGAGGCATGTTTATGACCATAGAACTGTGGGAAACACACAAGTTCAGACCACTTTTGAACACGGCCAGGGTGAGGCCTGAACCTGATCATGCTTGTAGGGCTGGTGGTGGGTGAGTCCATCGTGCTTTTTCTCCAGGTTGGGGACAGTAAGTGTGCCGAGGGTGTGGTTGCTGGACCTGTGTGAAGCTTGGCTCAAAGCCCTCTCTGGCGGACAGGACCACCTGGGCCCCAGCCCTACTCCCAGGCTACTAGTTGGGCTGGGCAGGTAGTAGTTTCTCTCTGCCACCTGCCCACTCCTGGCATGGGACCACTCTCTGGGGTTGGGACTGGACAAGAATTCCCAACTGTGCCTGCTTCCGGGACCCAAACCTAGTGTCTTGGAGGTGGTGCTGAGGAGCCCTTGAGTGGGGGCTGGCAAGTACCCAGATGCCTCTTTGCTCTCCAGGTAGACCGGGTCAGCTACCTGCTGCAGGAGATCTATGGCATCGAGAACAAGAACAACCAGGAGACGAAGGTATGTGCTGTAGTGAGCACGCACCGTGACTCCAGGCTGGCCTCACTCCCCACCTTCCCTTCCTCTCGCAGGGAAGCAGGCTCATGAGAATGATTTGCCTGGGACCCCTCGCCCTGGCCAGCAAGGACCCCGCAGGTCGATGTAGATGAGCCAGTTTCCTTCCATTCCTTCCCCTGGAGGCCCTGGGACCCCAGGTTCCATCATTTTTTCTTAAATTTTCAAAGGAGTTAACAGTTCAATGAATTTGCTTTTTCCGGCAAATTCAGTGGCTTGTTAGCATCGTTGGACTGTGGGCTGGTAGGGTCCCCTCTTGCCCGACTGGGCTTAGCCAGTGCTGCCTTGGCCTTTCTGTTCTCACAACCATCGGTGAGCCTCACTGCGTCCTGTCAGCTGGCTCCTCCCCAGACTCGAGCCCCTGCGGCTTTGTGGGGAGAGGGGTGCTTCACTGATAGCTGTGACAGAGGCCTGGTGGCCAGCAGAGCGTGTCTGGCACAGCCAGGAAGTGAGCAGAGAATCACCTAGTGCCTTTGTCACCATTTTTAAAGGCACACTAGCACGAATGGAACTGCTGCCTTTTAAAAAATCTCCAGAAGTCTCACACACCAGCAGGAACTGCCCAGAGGCAGGACAGGGCAGCTTGGCCAGGCCTGAGTTTCAGATGAGTGCTCTCTGTTTGATTCACATGTTTTACACCAGAGGTCACTGGCTTTCTATAAATATTTTCAATGTGACTGGCCTGCATGTGTCCATTGGATCTATTCACCACTGCTATTAGAGCACTGAAGCAGCCAGGCAATATGTGAACAACTGGGTGAGGCCGAATTTCAATAAAACTTTATAGAAACTAAGCAGGCCATAGCTTGCCGATCCCGGTTTTAGAATGTTTCTGCCTCTTGATCCAGATTTTGTTTTCTAGAAGCTACGTTTACTTGATGAAAATATGTCAAACAAGTTAGACTTGTCTCATTTTTTTGTTTATTTGTCTTAACCAAATAAATGGGTGCCTTCTGGAAGATGTGTTTTAGTGTTGTGTCTCTTCCACATTTTTTCTTTGGTTTTGGGAATAGAAATAGACTTGAGTTTCTTGATTTGGGGGCTATACCTCCTCTTTGCTGTGGGGTGGGCTTGGGCTGGATCTGCGGGGACTGTGGGCTGACTATGGAGGCGTCCTACTCTGCAGCGACCTTCCTCCACCCTCATGGGCCTCCCTTTGCCCCCAGGGGCCGTGGGTGCCGGCTGGCGGGGCAGCCAGGAGCAGGAAGGCCCCTTCCCGGCCCCTTAGCTGGCCTCCAGCCTCCAGCTCTCGGCTCTCAGAAAGCCGCTGACCCTCAGCCTTCATTGTCCCCACAGCCTTCGGACGAGGAGAACAGTGACAACAGCAATGAGTGCGTGGTGTGCCTGTCGGACCTGCGGGACACGCTGATCCTGCCCTGCCGCCACCTGTGCCTGTGCAACTCCTGTGCCGACACGCTGCGCTACCAGGCCAGCAACTGCCCCATCTGCCGGCTGCGTGAGTGGGCCCACACAGGGCAGCCGGGGCACTGAGACTGACAGGCCATCAGCTCCCCTTGCAGCGAATGGGAGTCTGGTGGTTAATGCTGGTAGCTCACACGACAGCGATTCTGCAGGCATGTGGAAGGTTCAGATCTCAAAAGTCTGCCTCCAGAAAAGCTGGACTTTCAGGACAGCTGGGAAGGGTGCTCCTGGCAGGTGTTGACAGTGATGCTAGAACTGGACAGAATTTTTTTTTTCCTTCTTATTGTATTTATTGGGGTGACACTAGTTAACAAAATTATACAGGTTCAGGCACAACTCCACAACACATCACCTGTACCCTGTAGTGTGTGTTCCTCTCCCAAGTCACCTCTGCTTCCATCACCTGCATAGACATTGCACTGTCACGAATGTTCACATACATGTCTGCCTGCCTGTGGTCACTGTAACTTCCAGGAAGAGACTCGCAATGTCCAGGGCTCACTGTTTGTGTTTTGCTGGTTGGCAGGTGTAACTTGAAGCCACTGTCTAGGCCAGTGGTCGGCAAACTCATTAGTCAACAGAGCCAAATATCAACAGCACAATTGAAATTTCTTTTGAAAGCCAACATTTTTTAAACTTCTTCTAACGCCACTTCTTCAAAACAGACTCGCCCAGGTCATGGTATTTTGTGGAAGAGCCACACTCAAGGGGCCAAAGAGCCGCATGTGGCTCAAGGGCCTCCGTTTGCTGACCACTGGTCTAGGATACAGCCGGAGGGTCAGAGGCTGGCTGTGTCCTCTCTGCCACCTCTAAAAACTTCACTGAGTTGGGGCAGCATTGTCCTGACCTCTGCCTTCCTCGTGTGACTGTTCTGCCTGAATTGGAAACGTGGCTCGTCCTGGGATCGTTGTGGTGGGGGTGGGGTCAGTGCCCCCACAGCTGGGCGGGTCTCAGTGGTGCTGGAACGGCTGCTCTTTGCCTGACATCAGCCCTTCCCTTCTGCACAGCTTTCCGGGCCCTTTTGCAGATCCGGGCGGTGAGGAAGAAGCCAGGAGCCCTGTCTCCCGTCTCCTTCAGCCCCGTTCTGGCCCAGAGCGTGGACCATGACGAGCACTCTGTAAGTGCCTCTTCCGTCGGCATTGGGGGGGTAGAGAGGTGGAGGGAGGAGGAGTCTGGAGGAAGCCCTGCCTTTTTGTTAGGCAGCCAGATGCTTCCAGGCCCTGCCTTCCTGTTAGGACAGTGTCTGGCTCCCTGCCCTTGGAGCAATACCTGACCAGGACCAAGGCTGTCTGGCCAGCACCTCCACCTCTGGCTCCTGGGCCTCTGTCCTCATCTCCCAGAGTGGCCCCACAGGAGCTGGAGCTACAGTGCTGTCACCATCACTCCACCAAGTCAGACAGCGAGGGCACTCCTTGTGTTTGGGAAGTGAGGGCTCCTTCACAGGTGGCTTCTCTGCCCACCTCTCCAATCTGGGTACACAGGAGGGCCCCTCAGCAGCCCCCCACCGCCCTTGCTCCTGAGAAACAAGATCACCTACTGCAGGCAGACGAGGGGTGTTGGACTCTGGCTTTGGAGAGGGGTGGGCAGAGACTCAGACAGCGAGACAGATATGTACGGGCAGAAACGGGCGGAGGGACAGAGACAGAGAAGTAGAGACAATGTAGAGATGTGGACAGACACAGCTAGGGCAGGAGACCGACACTGAGAGAGACATACACACAGACAGAGATGGGGATGGGGGTGGAGAGGACAGGCCGAGGTGGACAGATGGGGAGGAAGGACCAGGGAACAGGTGCCCGGCAGGTCTGGGTCTCAAGCTCCCAGGTCCCTATTGTCAATTGTGAGTGCGTACTCTTGGCTCTCAACTGAGGGTGTTTGGACCTAGTGATTCCTAGGGGTCCTGCCAGCCCTTTTAAAAGAAAAAAGGACTCGCCCTCTAGACCGGCGCACCCAGAAGACAGGGTCCTGCGCGGGCCAGCGGGTGTTATGTGTTCGGCCACATACTGTTTCTGAGAATTGGGCTGATGTTTAGAAATCCGGAAATTTCCCTTAAAACCAAGACTGTGATTTATCTTTCAAAATTTGAGTGTGTAGTCTTGAAGCTGGAGCAAAGGCAAGGCTTTCCCCGGGGGTGAACCCCATCACCTCCCCCCTCCTGGGGCAGCCACACTGTCTGTTTTGCCTGCTGGGCCCTGTGGACATCAGGGTTTAGGACTCAGCGTAGGCCCCCCCCACTTGTTTGACATTGGACTTGGTTACAGACACTGCACACTTCCTCCAACAAGGAGTTTTGGGTGTGATTTGCTCTGGGAAGGGAGGACTGGGGAGCTATCTCACAGGGTAGCCGCTCAGGTGGTGGGTTTTGTCGCTTGCGTGCTACTCTCCCGGTTTCTGTTTGCCCCTCGTATTATACTTAGCCTGGGAGCTGTGATGCTGCCCACAGTGCAGGGTGGGCTGGGGCTTGGATGGTAACTGCCAATGCCTTCCTCTCCCGAGGGTGGTTATTCTCCCTGTTACCTGTAGGAGCCATTTCCACGTCCTACCAGAGAGAGCCCAAACTAGGCATTTTCTCCAAAGAGTTGGGGTGATTTGGGTCTGATTTTTCTACCCACCCATCATTAGGACTTGGAAGTTGGTGATAAGTTGTTTTAAGAGGCCTGCAGGTCCCTTCCCCATGCCCAGCCAGGCCCACTTGTGTGGGGCACCCAACCACTCTCACACCCCCCTGCCCAGGACCTGCTACTTGAGGTGACCCAGACTGCGGGTGGGCATTGGGGTGGGGGTGGGCTCCCAGCCAGGCCCCTGAGGCCAGACCTGCATTTTGGCAAGGTCCCCACAATTCATGTGCATGTTAAGTTGCGAATGCACTCCCAAAAGCCAGCAGACCAGACCGACCCCAGCCATCCAGCTCCAGGGCCATACGGAGGGTAGTAGTTGTAAAATGTATGATTTTTATTTTGACAGTGTCCCTTTAAAAAATCAAAGTCGCACCCTGCCTCACTGGCCAGCAAGAAACCTAAAAGGGAAACTGTAAGTGTGTTTGGCCCTGTGGCCGTGTCTCTGCCCCTCACCCTGATTATTAAGCCAATGACAAGTACGGGAAGTCATTTTTGGGAAGTCATTTTCACCCCAGGTTGACGTGTTTGGTTGATTTTATCTGTCAAATCCACTCTCCCCAGTCCCCGGCTTCCCTGCTCAGAAAAGGAGTTTGTGGAACAAGCAGAGCTCAAGGTCTGTCGCAAAAAGCCAGTCTCGTGGATCCCCCCTGCCAGGCACACCGGCCTCAGGCGCCCTTCCCGCCAGCTCTGCTCTGTGCCTGGTCCAGTGCCCTGTTTCCCTTTGTTTCTTGCTGGCAGTGGAATGATGGAGGTGGAACTAATGTGGCTGCTAGATTTTGCAAACAGCACTCCTAGCGCTTGCTTGTCATTCTACACCCCCTGCTCTCTGCCCCTTGGGTTTTAGCTCTTTGGGCCAAAGATTGGGTTTTCTTGCATTTTCCCTGCGTTTCGAGGAGCAGGCTGGGGGCTGGAGAGTGTGTGGTAGCCAGGCTGGGCCTCTGGTAAAGCGTAGAGGAGGAAGTCACTGGGGAGTCAGTACAGATAGGTGTTTTTCTTTAATGGGGGATGAGGTGTTCACAGTAATTATTTACCTTTAAATTGGAGATGGATTGGGAGCAGGGCACCACTGGCTCAGGTGACCTGGGGATTGGGAAGTGCTTGCTGAGGGCAAGAGGCCCCATCCTGACTCCCCTGCCTCCTCTATGGTCCCAGGATTGCTTTACCACCTTTCTTCCTGCCAGTTAGCTGGGCAGGTAGGCCTGGCCGATGTGGCTCAGTTGGTTGAGCTTTGTCCCGTGTACCGAGATAACCAACTTGATTCCTGGTAGGGCACATGCGCAGGTGGCTGGCTCGATCCCCAGTAGCAGACGTGCAGGAGGCAGCTGATGGATGTTTCTTTCTAAAAAATCAATAAAAACTTGAAAGAAACAAGCAGTTGGGCCGGTGAGGGTTCCACGTAGGGAGTACTTTGGGACATTTGCCCTTCACCTATTTAACGTGAATGAGGACAGGTGGCTGCCCCACTCTATAGGGGCCCAGCACTGATAGGCCCAGCACTGAGCATCTCCCTCTCCCTTCACCTTTAACCCTCAAGCCAGGCTGTTGATGTCATTTATTTGGGGGAAACCGAGGTTCTGAACCAGGGGGCCTATCAGAATCACACGTCATCCCTCGGATGCCTGCCCAGGCCCACGAGGATCTGGTGTTGGGCCAGATGTCTGTGTTGTCGGGCAGAGCTCCCCGGGACCAGTCCTCCCTGGTCTAGAACACGTGGTTCCCTGGTTTCTCTCAGCTCTGGCATGGCTTTGCTCTCCACCTGCCCCTCACTAACCCCTCTCACTCTCTGCCCCTGCCCAGGAGCACAAAGCCGGCGGGGCTGTCTGAGGCTCGGAGTGGGGTGGCTCTTCCCGATGTCCTCTCCCTTCATGTCAAATGGGGCGTTTGGGTGTTCAAGGCTGTGCTGCACTGATGGCGAGGGATGCCCGGGCAGGCGGCCGGCGCTGCTCTAGAGCTCCTGGCGCCCCCTGCGGAGGGAGGGCTTACCCCCTGGAAGGTGGAGACACAGGAGATGGTCAGAAGCAGGTGCTGGGAGAAAGCAGGTGCCGTCTCGGGCATACGCCCGGGCAGTGGGCAGGGAGCCTCGCCAACGCCTCCCTCACCCGCTCTTGTCCCCTCAGAGCTCAGACAGCATCCCGCCGGGCTATGAGCCCATCTCTCTGCTTGAGGCACTCAACGGCCTCCGGGCCATCTCCCCGGTCCTCCCCTCGGCTCCCCTTTATGAAGAGATCACCTACTCGGGCGTCTCGGATGGTCTGTCCCAGGCCAGCTGCCCCCTGGCTGGGCTTGATCGCATCATGGAAAGCAGCCACCAGAAGGGCAAGTCACGGAGCAAATCCCCCGACAGGTGAGGCCGGGCCGAGGCCGGATTCCCGCTGGGGAGGGGCGTCTGGGAGCCACCCGCCTGCTTGTGGCTGGGGCACAGGAGGAGTGTGCCAGTAGGCGGGAAGTGCGAAGCAGGGTTATTTGTAGTTTGAAACAATTTTATGACGTGTTTTGTTTGGTGACCACCAGAAAGACTAACAAGACCAGTAGCGGGTTAGGCTCCAGGTAAGGTTGATCTCAGCAAAGGCAGCAGGAGTGAAATGTGTCCAGGCCACGCCGCAGGGCGTGAGCGCTGTCGCACCAGGAGAGCTGTTTGAGTTTCAGGGTCCTGTCTGGGATTGGTCACATGGGCACATCCTGCTGTGCGACTCGTGAACCAGGATTGCCATCCCTCCCGTAAGGAACCTTCCAGCCCGGGGCCCATCATGGCTCCCTTGGACACAGGCTGGGCTCTGCCAGCCTTGCCCTGGCGAGTCTTTCCTCTCACACATGCTGGTTTTTCACTAGAGAAGTATACAGAGGGCACGGGTTCGATAAAACCAGCTGTGGCCCCATGACTAATACACATGGCAGAATCACTTCAAAGATGCAGAATCATGGGAATCTCCTGCAGCCCAGAAGTATGCCATTGCAGTTGTCCTCTCCTTCTTTTTATTTTATTTTATTTTATTGTTTTTTTACAGAGAGGAAGGGAGAGGAATAGAGAGCTAGAAACATCGATGAGAGAGAAACATTGACCAGCTGCCTCCTGCACACCTCCCACTGGGAATGTGCCCGCAACCAATGTACATGCCCCTGACCAGAATCGAACCCAGGACCTTCAGTCGGCAAGCTGATGCTCTATCCACTGAGCCAGACCGGTTTTGGCTGTCCTCTCCTTCTTGAAATAAAAAACGGTGTTAGGCCTGACCAGCTTGGCTCAGTGGATAGTGTTGGCCTGCAGACTGAAGGGTCCCGGGTTCGATTCTGATCAAGGGCACATGCCTGGGTTACGGGCTCGATCTCCAGTGAGCATACAGGAGGCAGTCAATTGATGATTCTCATCGTTGATGTTTCTATCTCTCTCCCCCTCCCTTCCTCTCTGAAGTTAATAAGAATATATTAAAAAATGAAATAAAAATAAAAAGCTGTGTTTAGGCCTCTGCAAGTGCCCAGGTGGACAGTCTCCATGCCGCTAGCTGGTATCCAGTTGGCTAGTACCTAGGTACATCTGCCCCACAGCTCCAGGCACAGCTCCCTCACGTGGAGCTGGCTTTGGTGAGCCCACTTTTCTCACCCACTTGTCTTCTACCCTCCTCTCTGCCCCAGCACCCTGCGGTCCCCATCGTCCCCCATCCACGAAGAGGATGAGGAGAAACTCTCCCAGAACTCGGACGCCCCTCCCCTGCCGAGTGGGGCTGGGCTGGTGCTAAGCAGCTCCCCAGAGGTGAGTTCCCGCCCTGTCCACCCTCCTCGGTCCTGCCCACCTGAGCTCTGAGTCCCCACTGCCTGCTGTTTGCCCCTGAGACCTGTTCCCTGGTGTGCCCGCCTGCCTGCCATCATTCAGTGGAGGTCGGCACCAGACTCCAGGCTCATTTTCCCTTGTTTCCTAGAGTTTCCTCACGGAGGAGGCTGATGAGAGGTCATCGCTAAAGCAAGGTGAGCCCCTTCTCTTAAGGAGAGGTTCTGATCCTGCCTGTCTGGGAGGGCAGAGTCTCCAGCTCAGATCCCCCAGGGTTTCTCCTGGGAACCACTGCTCAGTGTCAGCACAGCCCGCAGCCATCAGCATCGGGGAGGAGTGGTCATTTTATATCCCCCTGGATCATTCTGCGCATGGTCAGCCCCCCGGCCTGGCCCTGGCTGTGCCCAACCTCGGTGGTCCTGCCAGCCCTTTGTATGGACAGAGGGCTCCGCTAGGTCCACGTCTCCCGTGTGGGAGTGAGGGGGCTTGCTCCTCTCCTGACGGGAAGCTTAGTACGTAGCAGCCTACAGGGTCAGGACCCAGCTGCCCACCACCTGTGCTGGCTCTGAGCCAGGGGACGGCCTTGCCTGACCTCACAGTGGTTGTGGGACACAGGGAGGTGCTTCCCTCTGCTGGCTGGGGAGACGCCATCTCTGCTGTCCTGGTCCTCTCTCCCAGTGTGGACAGGTGAGGAAACAGCCCCAGGGCTGGTTTGGGGGAGGCCAAGGCCACTTAATTTAGAGGTAACAGAGCCAGGAGCGGCCCTTGCTGGTTGCCCCCCAAGCCTGCAATCTGGTAAAGGTCCCCAAAATAACCTGCAGACGCTCCATTGCTATGACCCCTTCTTTCTTGGCCAGCATTGCACTGTGGGGACCCACACCCCTTCCAGGAACAGCCCTGCACCCCATGGATGGTGCCTGGGTTTAGGGGTGTCTGTTTTTTGAAGTACCGTGCCATTCTTTCTGTCTCTCAGGCCCTGGCTCCCCATCTCCCTCAGTGTTGGCTTTTCCTGCTGGTGCAAAGCATGTGCTTGGCCTGGGCAGCCCCCTGCTGTGCCCGGTCACAGGGTCCGGACCCCTGGCTGAACAGTGCAGGCCTGAGGCTGAGCTGATGTGGGAGAGGAACAGCCGCACTGCGGGCCCATGGGAGTGTCCATGCAGGACCAAGGGCTGTCAGCCTGCTCACCCAGGAGGATAAACAGGAGAGTTATATCTGCTACCATTTTATCTTGTTTTTTAAACTTGGGCGTTTTTTAATGATAAAATGAAACGGAATCTCATGCTGAGGGTGTGAGAAAAGATAGAGGGAGAATGGGGCCCAGGGGGAGTCAGGAGACCTCGGGCCCCAGCAGCTGCAGTGCCCTCGGGAAGGAAAGGCTGGCTCCTGGGTCTCAGCCAGAGGAGTGGCCCAGCCCGCCCCTGCTGGTGGGTCCCTGACCTGCTCTCTCCTCTGCAGGGAGCCGTGTACCCTCCATTGAGAACGTCCTCCAGGATGGCAGCCCTGAGCCCTGTGGCTGCTGCCAGCCTGGCCCACCTACCGACATCTACCTTCCAGGTAATAGCTCTCAGCCTGGGGTGGTGCTGTGACCATCCTCATGGCGTTGGGAGCCTATTGGTGCCCTTACTACTCAGGGAGGGGCTGACTTGTGGGGAGCCTGCCCCCTCCCTCTGGCTCTGACTTCATGCTCCTTCCGTCAGTCCCCATACACAGCCAGGCTCAGTTTGCAGTCACCCCCCCTGCAGCTCCGGCTCTTTTGTCAGAGCCTGTGCCAAGGCCTCTTTGCTCAGAGCCAGCTCAGCTTCAGGAAGGCAGGAAAGGCTGTTATAGGACACGGTCCTTTTCCCGATTCATCTCCTGCCATTGCCGTATCTTCCTACATCCCTGGCTCTGGCATGTTTGGGCCTCTGCCCCAGGGAGCTATGAACAAAGCCACCTCCTGCCTTAGGCCTGACACCAGCTTTCCTCCACCTGCCCGAGGTCCCTGGTGAGGCAGTGCATCCCACGACCGGCTGCAGCAGGACGGGCTGCTGTGTTGGGTGCCAGCAAGGCTCGAGGCAGCTGGGAACAGTCCTGCTTCTCTTCTCTTTTCTTCCCAGGGCCCTTTGGCCTCAGCTGCCCTGCTCTCTGCTCCTCTGGGCCAGAATCCTCTGCTTCAAATCCTGGGCTCCACAGATGGGGGATAGAAGTGGAGGGCTTTTAGATGCTTGTGCTGGCACCTGCTAGGATACTATCTGAGGTTCTGGAATCAAAATAAATAGTTGCATCGCCCCTAGAGAGCCTGGCTCCTGCCTGTCCCTGGAGCCATTGCTGCCTGGCCCCTGGTGACCGGCTTGAGCATCGGGGATTGTGACATGCTTTGGTTTGGAAGGGCCTCTTGCCCCAACCCTGGCTTCTGGATCAGCAGTGAGTGGCTTTGCAGACAGAGGGTCACCAGGTGTGTGGGAAGCAGGACAGCTGTTGGTTCGGTGACACATACGGGCCTGCCCATAGGGACACCCACGGTAAAAGCATCCCTTAGAGGGACAGAATTCCAGTAAGTTCTTTGAGAGGACTTCAAGTGTTTCATTGAGATTCAAATTTGGGCTGAAGTGGCCAGGAGAGGGACTGGGCTTTCTGGAGCCACAAGCCTCCACTCTGGCCTCCTTGGGCCCAGAGTCCTTGACCTGAGCTGCAGTGTGGGGTGGACCCGAAGCTCAGAACTCACAAGCCCCCTCTGATGCACAGTGAAAGGTCTTCTGAAGTGGCCAGAGCCATAGTCCCTTAGGACCTAGCTGGACATGTCTGAGTGTGAGGCCTGATCTGTAAGGCCAGGTGCCCACACAGCTGTGCATACCACCCTCTCCCTTCGCTCCTCGAATGGCCCACGAGAGCTCAGGAGTCTGCAGGGCTGGGACAGGCCATAGCTGCTGGGCTCAGCCCACAGGTGAGACCAGGACTTCTGGCCCTTGAGTCCCTGGGCCTCTAGCTCACCTGTGGGCGGGAAGCAGTTGCTGTGGAAGTGGTAGAGGAGAGGCCTGAGTCTGCATTCAGGGTCTAGGGACAGTGAGGTGGGCAGTGTCCGGCTCCTGAGCCCGGCCCCACCCTGGCTCTGCGCCTTGCGCCCACAGGGCCGGGTGAGTTCTCAGCACCTCTCAGAGCTCAGAGGAGGCGGTGCTGTTAGCACACTGATTGCATTGGGGGGTGGCCGCGGTCCTCACAGAGGCGCACACTGTGTGAGCACACATCCATGTCTTTGAGTCACATGCTGGGCCTGCCATTCTGCTACTGGCTTATTTCAGTTAGGTGAGATCCTTAGCTTGCTTGCTTTCTTTTTTTTTTTTTTTTTTTTTTTTTAATTTATTGTTTTTTTTTTACAGAGAGGAAGAGAGAGGGATAGAGAGTTAGAAACATCGATGAGAGAGAGTCATCAATCAGCTGCCTCTTGCACCACCCCTACTGGGGATGTGCCCGCAACCATGGTACATGCCCCTGACTGGAATCAAACCTGGGACCTTTCAGTCCGCAGGCTGAAGCTCTATCCACTGAGCCAAACCTGAGCATCTTTCACATGTGAGTTTAAGAATGTGAACATGCACACTGGGGTGTCTTCATTCTTTATAAAAACTGCACAGCCACTCCGGAGGGATGAAACATTATTTAGTAACTCTTAGTGTTCCGTGTTGATGTTGGCATTGGGGGAATCCATAAATGGAAAACCTTGTCACCACAGCCCTTCCTGGGCCCCACCTCCAGCAGGGCTCAGCACTGCCCGGCCCCCCAGTCCTTCCACGGGCTTCCTCTGCGTAAGAATTGTCCCAGGCCAAGACCGGTTTGGCTCAATGGATAGAGCGTCGGCTTGGGGACTGAAGGAACCCGAGTTCGATTCCGGTCAAGGGCATGTACCTTGGTTGCGGGCATATCCCCAGTAGGGGGTGTGCAAGAGGCAGCTGATCGATGACTCTCTGTCATCGATGTTTCTAACTCTCTATCTCTCTCCCTTCCTCTCTGTACAAAATCAATAAAATATATTAAAAAAAAAAAAAAGAAAAAAGAATTGTCCCAGGACTCTTTTTCAGGAAATACATTTTCAGCCAGTACCCACCTTTTGCTCCAGCACATCGGTTTGTGTGGGTTTTCATGTCGAGTCCCACCCCCTCAGGGCCCTTGTCCTAACGTCAGTGCATGTGCTGTGGGTGTGCTGTCTTTCGAGCCTTTGCTAACCAGGCTTCCGTCTCCCCACAGCCCAGGCTCCCGACTCCTGTTCTGTTGGCATTGAGGAGTAAGCTGGTACGTGTCGCCGTCATGCTCGTGGTGGGTGGCTCTGAGGGGCATCCTTGGCAGGGGTTAGAGAGAAAATTTCCCAGCTGCCTCTCCCTCTCCCTTGCCCTCCAAGCAGTTCCTCCCCATTCCTCAGCTTCCTTCACATCCCTGTCTTCCCTTGGGTCCTGGATTCTAAATCCCAGCTCTCCCAGTGCCCTGCACCTTTGTCCTGGGGGGTTCAATGCTGGCTGTGGGGCCAGAAATTCTTCCATCGGGACCTGGCTGCCCAGTCAGGCTGTTCCAGCCTTTAGGGCCCCAGGAATGGGGGACCCCACCCTACCTGAGATCCCATCATTGCTGCTACTAAACTGTCCTCCTACCCACCTCTGGAACCTTCCGTAACACCACCAGCACTCATGTCAGTCTACCAGGAAGCCATATGCGGCTGACTCCCCACCTGACAGGGAGGTGCCTCCTAGGTGGGTGACCAAGCAGACATTTTACAGAAGGCAGTTCCAGGAGTGCCACCGAGGCCTAGGCCATATGTGCCGGGGCCCCTTCCCCTCCTTCATATGACATTAGTGGCTCTGGGGAGGCTGATGGTACCGAGCCTGGTGCTCCGGTGGCCCTGGGTTTCTGGAGACACCAGGCCAGGCTGGTGCCGACCTTCCTCCCAGTCAGCTGCCCTGAGTCCACGCTGTGGTGTCTGTCCACTTGTTTTGACGGCTGCTCTTACATTCCCACACAAACCTCTGTCCTCCTCACACATTTCTTCTGACAAATCTTACCCTCTATTGAAACAGAGGAAACTGTTATCCTTTTTTTTTTTTTTTTTTTTTTTTTTTAATGTTTTTATTGATTTGAGAAAAAGGAAAGGAGAGGAGGAGAAAGAGAAACCGATTGGCTGCCTGACGCTCCATTCTGGGCATCTAGCCTGCAAGCTGGGCATGTGCCCCGACCAGGATTCAAACCAGTGACCCGCTGGTGCCCAGGAGACGCTCAGCCGACTAAGCCACAGCAGCCAGGGCAGGGTCCTGCCCTTTGATATAGCTGGTCCCAGCCTCCACCCTGGAAGTTGTTCATTGTTGCAATTTAGGTAAAACTTGCAGAAGCAGGAACAGGTCAGAGCTACAGGGAGATGCCCTTCACCTGGCAGAGCTGCCTCTCTGCACACACCACAGCGCCTCAGGGAACAGTCCCTCACCCGAGGGTCTTGTCACAGACGACTGGTGGCAGACGCACTGCTCCGTTTGCTACGTGAAGACGCCAGTGGAGCCCACGTTCAAGTGGCTGGGTGGTGACCATGCTTTCTGCAGCTCTGAGAAGTGTGCTGACCTCTGCTGCTGCAGCCCCGTCAGGGGTCCTCACCCCAGCGCCCGAACAAGGGGACACCCTGTCTGGGGGCAGGGCACCTCACGGCTTGGGGAGGCACCTGTGGTAACAGCAGGGCTCTGAGGAGGCAGGCGAGGCGCCTGTGTCTGCTCTGAGCACTGGCTGTGCGTCACTTGGCCTGGGGCTGGCCAATCGCAGCCTAAGTTCGTCAGGAAGCCGGGGGTCAGCAGCCAAGGTGCCCTGTTCGTCCCAGGGCTATAGCTGCTGCTGGGCCACAGCCTGCATGCGCAGAGGGGGTGCTGGCTGGCCTGCCCTTCTGGCTTTAAAGTTGTGGGAACCTGGAGCTGGAGCGGTGAAGGGAGCAGGTGAGGCGGGATGACTCGTCCAAGCCTGACCCTCCTCCGTCTCTCCCTCTGCAGGAAGGCCCACCTCCGTGGAGACGCCGGAGCCTCCTCACCGCCTGCCCGGCCCCACCTCGCCTCTGTTTGGTGGCCCCAGTGCCGATGTGGAGGCCACCGACGGACTCAACTCTGAGAGCCTGGCCAGGCTGGCAGCATGGAGCCCTCAGCTCCCCAGACTTTGCCAAGGGGCTGTCTGGATTCCATTGAGACCCCTGGCCTCTCCTCTGCACACCCTCCATAGCCACGGCTCCAGGGGGCCCTGCGGCCCTTGATTGAAGAGCACAGTGGACTGTCCCCTCTGACAAACCTGTTCCTGCGGTCTCTGTGTTTGTGAATGGTACACGATGGAGGACAGCCCCTTTCTGCCTCAGGCACTGAGCCCTGAGTTCCCCCAAATGTCTTGTTGGCTGAGTGGCTGGGGCTGGAGGCTGGCCACCCTCCTGTCCCAGATTGGCTTTATCCAGCCCCCAGCCAGTGGGAGTTGACACCTGAGAGAATTTGTTGGGGGGTGAAGGACTGTCTCACGGGGTATGACTGGGGGGCTTGTTGTTGGGAAAGGAAAGGAAGTGGGTCCGAGTCACGGTCAATGAAGGAAACGGTGCCTGTGCCCTTCCCCTGAGTCTGTGGCCTGGCTGCTTTGTGTCCCCTGTTGCTTCCCCTCCCGCGCAGGCCCTTTGGGGCAGGGCTGTCTCCTGTAGCTCGCAGCCCTGCCCTGCGGCCCTGCGGCAGCCTGGGTTTCTGCACTCAGGCCCAGGTCTGGATCTGGGCCTGCCTCTTCCCAGGGGCAGGGGGCAGGGCACAGCCTGTTGGCAGCAGTTGGTGTAGTGGCCCCTGCACCTTCTCAGAGGTGGCTTTGCACACGTCCTCAGGCCCCCTCCAGCCGGAGGGCTTCCACTCAGCTTGTCCGCCCGCTCAGGGAGGGATCTGAGCAACTTTTCTGCGCCCTCTGTGCCATTTAAATGTCACTGGTGTTTCTCTTTGATTTGTTCTGTCTGGGGCTCCCGTGGTGGGACCTGCCTCCTAGAAGGTCCCATTTGAAGTGGTCTTGTCGTTTTCTGAAGATAAACCACCAGGGCAATAGAAAAGCAGAGGAGGCACAGGCTGCCCAAGCAGGGACCTTGGCCTGGTGGGTGGGTGGGTCTGTGCAGCTCCCCAAGGGGTCAGTTCTTTTGGGCCTTGGATTAGTGGGTGCAGAGGAGCTTGCTTTCTGAGGATGATGGTCTGGGAGCATCCACACGGCTGGGGGCTTTGTCCATAGGGTCCTTGTTCTCTCTCCAGTGGGCTGTGAGCAGAGCGCTGCCTTATGCACAGCTCTCGGCCACTTGGCTCCCTGTCTCCCCTCCCCTCCCGCCCACTGGCGTGCTCATGGGTGCACATGTGCACACATACAGGCTGGCTGTCTCTCTCGCCCTCATCACCCACCAACTCCCTGGCCTCGCCATTGGCATTGGTGCCAGAACTCCGAAGGACAGGATGCAGACTACCCTGTCTTGGACTTACACACGTTATCATTTGATGTATTCTGATTGGCTAGTTTTTGTTCGTTTTTACTGTATATTTATAGTAATAAAATCATGCAGCAATATCCTGCTCATTCCTTTTTCCACATAGCACTGCAGGATCTCACCTGTTTCTTGGTCTGGAGGCAGGACTGCTGAGTGGCTAGTGATGGTTCTGACACCCTAATAGCAGTGGGAGCACCAGTTTGTGGCCACAGCCCGTTTCATGTGTAAGACATCAGTGAGGTCCGACTCCAGGAGGGAGTGAGGGCCTGTTGTGGCCACTGGGCTGATTCTTGGGTTGGACCGAATGGCTTCAGGGGATTCAGCTCCATTTTCTGAGCAGGTGGAGAAGGCATCAGGCCTCCAGGTTTGTGAGAGGCTGCTTTGGCCCTCAGCGCCATGTTCTGTGTCGCCGATTCATCCCATAGATGTTTCCTGACCACCTACTGTGTGCCAGCAGAAGGCAAGATGGACAAGGTCCAGGCCCCTGGGAAGTTGTGTTCTAGTCAGTGAGACTCTGCACAAATAAATCTACATCTTCCCAGATTTGGTTAGGAAGAGTCAGCAGGTGACAAGATGGGGTCACACGGGGATTTAATTTAGCCCATAGTCTGGCAGCTGGCACAAGTGCAAAGGCCCCGAGATAGTAGTGAGCCTGGGATGTCCACTAAGTGGAAAGAAGCACACATGGCCGAAGTGTCTGAACTGGGATTTGGTTGCAGATACTGTAAGACTTTGTAGGGGCAATCAGAGGCTTATTCTAAGAAAAGAGATTTTTAAGCCAGAGAATGACTCCTGATGTCACGTGGAGAGTGGATTAGAGGGGCAGGTTTGGCTGCCATGATGCTGAAGCCCAGCTGGGAGCCCTCTGCTTGGCTCCAGTTTCCCTGCCTGGTGAATGGTTTTCCAGGAGGGAAAAGCTGGTGCCCAGAATGCCAGGCAGCACTGCACCTCCACCCCCAGCTTTTTTGCAAACACAATTTCAAGTTACCTCCACAGACCTCTTTGTGTGTGTATCCTATATAATAAAAGGCTACTATGCAAATCGACTGAACATGGGATGACAGGTCGCTATGACATACTGACCACCGGGGTGGAGACGCGTCAGTGTGTTCCCACAGGGGAGTGCCGCTCAGCCAGAAGCAGTGGTGGTGGCAGGAACCTCTGAAGCAGCCAGACATCCCCCTGAGGGCTCCCAGACTGCAAGAGGGCGTGTGTGTGTGTGTGTGTGTGTGTGTGTGTGTGTGTGTGAGAAAGAGACAGAGAGAGAGAGAGAGAAAGGGAGAGAGAGAAACATCAATGATGAGAATCATTGACTGGCTGACTCCTGCACACCCTATACTGGGGATTAAGCCCGCAACCCAGGTATGTGCCATGACCAGGAATTGAACCACGACCTCCTGATTCATAGGTTAAAGCTCAAACTCTGAGCTACGCCATCCAGCCCTCTTCTTTTTTTTTTAATTCTCACCCAAGGATATGTTTATTGATTTTATTTTATTTAAAAAAAATTTTTTTTTTTACAGAGAGAAACGGAGAGTTAGAAACAACTATGAGAAACATTTATCAGCTGCTTACTGCACACCTCGTACCGGGGATGTGCCCACAACCAAGGTACATGCCCTAGATCGGAATCAGACTTGGGACCTTTTAGTCTGCAAGCCAACGTTCTATCCACTGAGCAAAACTGGTGAGGGTTGTTTATTGATTTTAGATAGACAGGAAGGGGGAGAGAGAGAGACATCCTTGTGAGAGATAAATATAAACTGGCTGCCTCCCACATGCACCCAGACCAGGGATCGAACCCACAACCCAGGTATGTCATGACCTTTTGGTTTCCTGGGCAACAATCCAACCGAGCCACACTGGCCAGGGCCACTAGGCCCTTCAACTCAGGCACTAGAGAATGGAAACTGCTCTTGGCTGGCCAATCCCTGCCCCAAGGACGGCTGCCACCCTTGGCTGTGCCAGTGTGGGAAGGAAGATGCTCAGTCAGGTGAGTTTGTGAATGGGCAACATTGGATCTCCCTCCTGACTTTCCCAAACGGACCCACCTTGTTCATTAATGCCTGGTGTCAGGGAGGGATTGGGCACGGGGTCTCTTTCCTCGGTGCCCCCTGCTGCACCCTGGTCCTGGAGATGGGGTCCTCTGATTGGGCCCTTCCCCTCAGACCTCTCCCCTTCACATACCTGCCTGGGACCTGGCCTGTCAGCTGCAGCTGCTCCTCTGAGCCCTGTCAGAGGGCCACAGCTGGGGAGAGGGCCTCTCTCTTTAGGTCCTTATTTCCCACATCTGCTGATAGAATACACCCTAGGCCAAACGTGAGTTTCTGGTGGATCCCACCAACCCTTGCCTGCCCTCTGAAACCTCTCCTCTCCTCCTCAGCCCTGCTCAGGGCAGCCTTCCCTGTGCCAAACCTTGACCTCAATGCTTGGCTCTCCCGAGGCTGTGCCGGTGGTAACGGTCCTGAGTTTCTTCACTCAGCAAATCTATGCTCACCATGGGGAGGCAAATGGAGCTTGGGCCAGTGGGTGGAGTGAGGCGCACCAGGACTCAGAACCCCAGCGGCTTCCTTCTGGGATAAGTGAGGCAGAAGGCGGGTTTTCTGTCGTGGACACTGAGCAAGAGACAGGGTGGAGATCTAGGATAGGATCCTGACTCCATCGCCAACAGTGGAGTGCCCTAAGGCAAAGCCTGCCCTTTGAGCCCAGGCTGCTCCTCCTCCTCTGGAAATTGGGGAGACCCTATTTCCTCCAACAGTACCTGGCATATGGGGCCTGACTTGGAGGACACTTGGGGCATTGGGTCTGGAAGCTCCCAGTCCGGGGCTTAAGTCACTTTGGCTCTAGCCAACTGGGTGTGGGGAGTCCCGGGGCTTCATCCACCCCTAGCCAGGGCTGCGCTGTGGGGCAGTTGGAGCTCCCCAGGCCCTTCCTTCCTGCTGATATGGAGTCAGGCAGACCAGCAGTGACTTTGGGTTGGAATGCTTTGCAGGCGTAGGCCCCCAGGACTGTGGAGGCGGGGGTAGTGGGTGGGGGGGGGAAGGTAGGGAGAGGCAGGAGGCGCCCACGTGCCCAAGGAGGCGCTGGGGGGAAGGCACGCGACTCGGCCTCGCCAAGGGCGACGTGGTCTTGGAGGACCCGCTGCCCTCCTCACAGTCCCAGCCCCGCCAGCTCCGCACGCAGCGGACTGAAAGCCCAAAGTCCCAGCCTCCGAGGTGGAGCTCGGCTGGCGCGCTGCCTGCCGGGCGTTGTGGTTTCGAGTGCCCGGGCTGGGCTGGCGTCAGGTTTCCGAGGCCATTGGGAGCGGGCCGCGGTGCGCGCCGGCCCTCTTTGCACACGCCCCTGCGCCGCTCAACGACGCGTCGCGGTGGGGCTCTGTCCGGAAGCGCGCCAGCGATTGGTGGAGGGGATGCGGCTGCTCGCGGATTGGCCAACGCGGCGGGGGCGGGCCAGCGCACGCGCTTAAGGGGCGGAGCCGCGGCGCCATGGGTAGTAACAAGATGTCGGCTGCGGTGCCGGAGCTGAAGCAGATCAGCCGGGTGGAGGCGATGCGCTTGGGGCCGGGCTGGAGCCACTCGTGCCACGCCATGCTGTACGCCGCTAACCCCGGGCAGCTTTTCGGCCGCATCCCCATGCGCTTCTCGGTGCTGGTGAGGACGAGGGCGGGCGGATGTGGGCGGGACGCCGCTCGGACCCGCGCCCGTGACCCGGCGCTCCCTTGTAGATGCAGATGCGCTTCGACGGGCTGCTGGGCTTCCCCGGGGGCTTCGTGGACCGGCGCTTCTGGTCGTTGGAGGACGGACTGAACCGGGTGCTGGGCCTGGGCCTGGGCTGCCTGCGCCTCACCGAGGCCGACTACCTGAGCTCGCACCTGACCGAGGGCCCGCACCGCGTCGTGGCTCACCTGTACGCGCGGCAGCTGACGCTGGAGCAGCTGCACGCCGTGGAGATCAGCGCGGTTCATTCGCGCGACCACGGCCTGGAGGTGGGGCCGCCGCCCGGGGCCCGCCCCCCACCCCGGGGTTTGGCTCTGGCCCTGCGGAAGGCACCGATGGGTAACACGTCCTCCTGAGGGTCCCCTGGCAGGGCTGGGTGGTGGTGGTGGGGGGGTTACTGCAGCCTCGGGGTAGGGAGTGGGACCTGAGGTGCCGGCGGGAGGCTGGGGCTCCCTCGGGGTTGTGTTCCATCCGCCTTGCTGCCTGCCATTGCCAATCCTGGGGGTGGGGAGTGGGATTGGTTGGGGGGATGGGATGGGAGTGGGATTGGTTGGGGGGGATGGGATGGGAGTGGGATTGGTTGGGGGGATGGGATGGGAGTGGGATTGGTTGGGGGGATGGGATGGGAGTGGGATTGGTTGGGGGGATGGGATGGGAGTGGGATTGGTTGGGGGGATGGGATGGGAGTGGGATTGGTTGGGGGGATGGGATGGGAGTAGGATTGGTTGGGCCGATGGGTTGGGAGTGGGATTGGCTGGGGGGATGGGATGGGGCGGGACCTGCTGGAGGAGGTGGGAAGTTGAAGGGCAGAAAGAGGAACTGGGAATGAAGGTTGGGTTCTCATGGTGCTGGGGTTGAGGGCTCTTGAGATGTGGGGGTGTTAGGGTCTGGAAGGGTTGGGAGTGACAGTTTCTTTGTTGGGGATGCACCTGCTGCAAGGGGGAGCATGAGGTGCGGATGGGGGGTGGGGCTTTTCGCCAGCGGGTGGGAGGCTGGAACATGCGGGTGCAGAGGGTGGGAGGTGCATGAAGGTGGCCCTGAAACTTGCTTGGGGAGGAGGTGGCTGGCTTCTGCCTCACCAGACCCTGCCATGGTCTCCCATTATCCTTGGCAACCTGCTTTCTCTTCCCCTTCCCCTGGCCCAGCAGCTTACAGGCCCCTCCTAACAGGGTTGTGCTATTAGTGTAGGGGCCTGGCCCCAACTCTGATCCCCTTTTGTGCAGGTGCTGGGACTGGTGCGGGTCCCCCTGTACACCCAGAAGGACCGAGTCGGTGGCTTTCCCAACTTCCTGAGCAATGCCTTCATCAGCACGGCTAAGTACCAGCTCCTCTTCGCCCTCAAGGTGCTCAACATGATGCCTGAGGAAAAGCTGGCTGAGGCTGTGGCTGCAGCCACCGAGAAGCAGAAGAAGGCCCTGGAGAAGCTGCTCCCATCTTCTTCCTGAGGTTGCTCCCGTACTGCGCCTGCCCTCCCTTGGCTCTGTGACCAGGGGCTGAGACAGGCCTGAAATCGTGTGTGTGTGTGTGTGTGTGTGTGTGTGTGTGTGTGTGTGTGTGTGTAATCCTTTCTGACTGCACGGGGCCAGTGGGCATCTTATCTCCACTGCCTCAAGCAGTCACAGGGCCAGGTGGAACCTTCTCAGGTTAGTCAGCGGGTGGTGGGCCTGGCTGTACAGGCTCAGGACAGTCTTATCCACCTTGAGCTCAAACCCAAGAGTCTCATGGGCTGGTGGAGGCGCAGGCACTGCCTGATTTTCCAAGTGGATAGATGCACAGACACTTAGACCAATGAGAAGTTAGCTCTCAAGGGAGGCGCCTTTGTGTCAGTTGACTCATTCCTGCATCCTGCCTCTGTGCCAGCGCCTCGGGGCCTCCAGGAGAGCCAGTTTGGGTAGGATGTTGTGCTGTTAATTTTAGTTCTTAGTTTTACTAAGATGGGGATGGAACACAACCCCGAGGGAGCCCCAGCCTTCCACCGGCACCTCAGGTCCCTTTCCCATAGTAAAAGGCTTAGATTTCCTTTTCTGTGTTGTATGAACTATGGGTGTTTGGTTCCCAAGGGCAGTCAGGGTCATGGGCCCAACTAATAGATGGAACTGTTGAAGGGACAGGAAAGTGGTTCCTCTGCTGCTCAATTCTTTGGTCCTGACTGCAGGCTCAAGGCAGGGCTCAGGAGGTTGTCCCCTTCCTTCTCTTACTACCCAAGACTTAAGGAGAGGGCCAAGTCCAAGAGCACTGGCACCATTCAGTTGCGCTGTCACAGGCCTCCTGTCTGAGGGGAGGGGGTTGCTGTCCACCTCCCTGTTCCCATGTGGCACTCACTCGCAGCCATGGGCTCTTCTGGGCTGTCGGCTTGGTCTGGAGCTTCTGTGCTGAGACCGTCCAGAGAAGCCTCTTTTGTGATCCGGGTGGCTCTCCCACGAGGCTGAGCCTGTTGATTTTTCCTGTGCTTTTCCATTCCCAGTATGATCTACAGGCAGCTCCCAGAGATGGTCTGGAAATACCCGTCAAGTGTGCAGATGACAACAGCAGAGCCGCCACCGGCAGGAAGGTCACCACTGGCAGTCTCCTCTGGCCCCAAGTCTGGCTCAACTCAGTGAAGCTACTGGAAAGTTTCCGCAGTGCCTCCCCAGCCTAAGAAAAGCGGTGCTGCCTGCCCAGCTCGGGCATCTGTTCACCTTAGAGCCTGATGAAGCAGCCACACTGGGCAAAGGCACTCCACTCTGTAAATAAAATACCTGTACTTTGCTCCTCTCTCATTTCCTGGGGCATGGGGGCCTGCTTAGCTTCTATTGAATCACGGGGGCTCTGAGCAAAGAGCCCTAGCTGCTGGGGACCATGGGGTAGGAGGGGTCACCAATCAGCACCCCCATAAGCACAGTATTCTCTGTCTTGGCAAGGAAGCCTGGGCCCCAGCCAGTTGCTGGAGCTGGGGGTCCTGGCATGGCTTTCCCCTTGCTCTATGTTAGCCAGTACTACACGCTGTGTGACCAGAACTGAGCCCCTCACCAGCTGATCTTACATTTTATTTTCCAGCAAATGACATATGCTGCCCAGATGCCCAAACTCACCCATCAGGGCAAATCTGAGTGTGGCATCTGCGGGGTATGGGGACACACTCTCTCCCCAAGGTCCTGTCTGCTCTGGGCCTTACCACCAGGTTCAGGGCAAGGCCCTCGTCCTGCTTCTGTGGGGGCCTTGCTGCCTGGCACCAGCCACAGCCTGGTCCTGTCTCTCTGCCAGCTGCTCCCAAGGGCCGGTCCTCTGGCCCCAGCTGGGACCTGGGCTGCTGCAACTGCCCACTCACTGCCCTCCTGTCTTCCGGGCACACAGCTTCAGGGTGGATCAGTCACCCAACGTCAGGTTCTGGAAAGGAAAGAACTGGGCGTTGGCTCAGCTCCCAGCACACCCTGCTATCCCTGGTTGAGGCCTGGGCTGATACTCACCATCCCTCAGACTAAGGCTCCCGCCAGTTCTCTTTCCCATTCAGTGCCTGCAGCTTCTCCAGGCCCTGGGTCACGGAGCACAGCACTCGTCCTGAGGATGGGAATAGAGGCGGCTTTGCAAAGTGTGGGTGGCAATGGGAAGGAGGGGTGCCTCAGGGCGGGTACTAGTAATAGATGACCTGGAAGGTCAGTAGGTCGTAGTGGGGCTGCCCTAGGGGTCTAAGCTTAAGGGCTCTTCCTGTTACTCCTGTCTGGTCCCTGGGCAGGGGCGAGGGTCACTGGCTTTCCTCCCAGAGACTCACCCATCTCATGAACTCGGTCCTCCAATGCTCCCGACAGCTCGGGGAGGCTCAGGGCCTGCAGGGAGGCCTGCCAGCCTTTGGAGTCTATGGGGCAGAAGGCTGGGTGAGCCTGGGGTCTGTGCTCACAGGCCCTGCCTCTGTCCTGAGCTGTTGTGACCAGGAGACCCACCCAACTGTCAGTGCCTGTGTGACCCCCTTGTTACATCAAAATAGGTTCTGCTTGCTTACCCAACGCAGTAACTGCTGGTCAGGGCCTGGCCCCAGGAAAGGAAGTGTGGGGGTCACTGGCCTCCTGTGAGGCTACGCCCTGAGGTGGACTCAGCCTGGGCTCCAACTGGGGGCTGCAGGAGTCACTTGAGGTCTTGGATAGCACAGTCACAATGGCCCAAGGATTTGCCTCCAACCATCAGGAGGGACATTAAGGAAATGGGCTGAGGAGGGCAGCATGCCCTCACCCTCGAGTCTGGGATTGTGTTGCAAAGGGATCTGGAGTGTAAATGGGATAACCATTGAGATAAGTGGTAAAACCCAGCCTGAGGAGGCATCTCTGCCCAGTCCTGACCCCGGACATGCTCTCCTTACCAGCTGTAGGGAGGGCTGGGCCTAGGGTGGCCCCCAGAGGGGACTCGTCTTGCTTCACTCGGGCTGACAGCTCAGCCTGACAGGCTCTGCAGAACACAAGACCAAGGGCTGGTAAGGGGAAAGCCTGGCAACTGCCTTCCATGGTCCCGGAGGGCAGGGGATGGCAGACATCACCACTTCAAGTGCCCTCACAGCCCACCTTCCTGGGCTTGGCAAGCCCCCCCCCCCCACAAGCTCTCGCTGAGACCCAGGCGGAGAGCTTGCATAGGGTATGCAAATTTTCATAGCCCTACTTCTGCCTGGTGTACATTGGAGGGAGGAACAGCTAGAGTGAAATTGGGGGGCGAGGGGGAGAAGGGGCGCAAGGAGTGACTCAAGAGGCCCTGAAAGCAAATCCTTGATTGAAAAATCTGGAGGGAATTCGATCAACTCAGGTGCCTACTCACTGTAGCTGGTCCAGGATGAGAGCAGCATCCTGGGCCCGGGCCCAGGTCTCCTGCAGCTGGGCAAGGATGTCCTTGCGGGTGCTGTCCTGCTCCAGGAGGCAGCTCTCCACCACAGCCCGCAGCTCCTGCTCCTGGGATACCTGGCCCCGCATGGCCTCCACCTCCTCACAGCGCTGGAGAGGGAGAGGTGGAGGTGGGGCTGGAAGGCCAGCAGATGGGGCAGGCAAGTTGGCCAAGGATGCAGGAGACACAGGCCCCAGGCCATGGCTAGGATTCACCCCCATCCTCTGTCTCTGCTGGTCCCTCCTGGAATGGGAGGCCTGTTTCTACCTTGGAGCCTCCCCTGCTTTGGGTCCCTTCCTGTGACCCCACTGGGGTCCATGCCTCTTGTTCTCTGGCCTCAACCCTCTCTCCTCTCCGGTGGACATCCACCTGACCTCCACCTAATGTTCCATACCTTTCTGGGCCTCTTCCTCTGGGCCTGCCTGCATATCTCCCCTCACTGTCATATCACTGTCCTCTGCAGGTGTGTGTCTTTATAGTCACCTCTCTTGCCATTTCTCCACATGCCCTCCCACCCCATGCCCCCCACCTACTTTGTGCAGCTGGATGGCGAGCTCCTGCATCTCAGCTTCCAGCCTGTCGGCATAGGCCAGCTCCAGGGCATCACTGGGGGGGCGGGCACTACTGTGCCAGCGGGCAATGGCAGAAGTCATCTTCCTCTTGGGTCCAAACAACCTATCAGGGGGAATGCGGAAAGAACTTGGATCAGCATCTGCCATGTGCCTGAAAGCTCCACAGACCATGGTTTCCCTAGGAAAGATCCTTGAAGGGGGAGGGTAGTCCCAGGACCTACAGCAGAGGACAGAAACAAAGGTTGTAAGAAGTGATGACCTCACTGGAGCCTCCCTGCATAGGGTCCCTGTCCCAGCCCGGCTGCTGCTTTCACTAAGCAGGGACCTAGCCAGCTGGTCCAGGCTGTTTGCCAACTTGGAAAGTTCTCAAAAGTGACAGGCAGAAAATGTCCGGATTCCCTGAATATAGCACTGAACTGGGCCAGCACGAGGAGCCACAAGACTCAGGCCATCTACACCTAGGAATGGAGAAGACAGCTGGCCGCTAGAGCGGGCAGCTCTTTCCAAATGTTGGAAAGCTGCAACGTCAGATGATCCCAGAAACAAGGGCCATGCAGCCACAGATGGCCCCTCCAGACTCACGTGATGCCGATTTCTTTCAGGTCGCTCTCAGTGAGGGTCAGGAAGATTCGAAGGTCCACATCCTGTTCTTCAAACAGCTGCAGGTACTTCAGACACCCTATCTGCTCCAACAGTGTGGCAAGGTCCTAGTGGGCAGAGAGGCCAGGGCAGGTCACAAAGACATGGGGATAAAAAAAAGGCACATGATATAAGGTGGAGCCACTTTTCTCCTGCTAAGTGTGCATTTGTGAGGTCGCTTTTAATTTTTAAAAAAAATGTATATTTTTAAAATATATTTTATTGATTTTTTACAGAGAGGAAGAGAGCGAGCGAGCTAGAAACGTCGATGAGAGAGAAACATCAACCAGCTGCCTCTTCCACATCCCCTACCGGGGATGTGCCTGCAACCAATGTACATGCGCTTGACCGGAATTGAACCTGGGACCTTTCAGTCCGCAGACGGATGCTCTATCGCTGAGCCAAACCGGTTTCGGCTTAAAATATATTTTTATTAATTTCAGAGAGGAAGGGAGAGGAAGAGAGAGAAGCATTGATTACCTGCCACCTGCACGCCCCCTAATGGGGATAGAGTCTGCAACCTGGGCCTGTGCCCTGACCAGGAATTGAACTGTGGCCTCTTGGTTCATAGGTAGATGCTCAACCACTGAGCCACACTAGTGGGGCTGTGAGATCGCTTTTAAGGGGGAGATCTGAGCCCAGCTGATCCCCCAAGTTCAGCAATGGGATAGGGACTTGACTGCAGGCAGAAGGCCCCCTCCTCTCTGTGCCCCGAGAGAACAAGGAGTCAGAAACACTTACTTGTGTCTTTGGATCTAATGTCTTTTCATTTCAGCCTGAAGGACAACTTTAGTGTTTCCTGCAGGGCGGGTCCGCTAACAACAAATTCTTTGACTTTGTTTACCTGGGGCTGGTCTTAATTTCTCCTTCACTTTTGAAGGGGAGTTTTTGTGAATATAGCATTCTTGGTTATTTTTCTTTCAGTACTTTATTTTGTCAAATGTCCTTCTGGTTTCTGATGGGGAAATTGGCTATTAATCTTTTTTTTTTCTTCTTTTTCGGGGGGGGGGTGTCTTTTTTTTTTTTAATTATTATCTGTGTACATATCTTACCATCCCCCTCTCCCCCGGCTATTAATATATTGCGAATCCTTTGGGGGCAATGAGTCATTTATCTTCCTTCAAGATTCTCTCTCTTTTTTTTTTTTTTGACAGCGGTTGGTCTAGGTGTGGACCTGAGTTTAACTTAGAGTTCATTTAGCTTCTTGGATGTGCAGATTCATGTTTCTATTAAATTGGGAGATTTGGCTATTTTTTTTTATTTTTTATTTTTTATTTATTTTAAATGTATTTTCTTTCTTTTTAAAAAAAAATATATTTTATTGATTTTGTACAGAGAGGAAGGGAGAGAGATAGAGAGTTAGAAACATCGATGAGAGAGAGTCATCGATCAGCTGCCTCTTGCACACCCCCTACTGGGGATATGCCTGCAATCAAGGTACATGCCCTTGACTGGAATCGAACCCGGGTTCCTTCAGTCTCCAAGCCGACGCTCTATCTATTGAGCCAAACCGGTCTCGGCTGGCTATTTTTTTTAAAGCATTTTTTCTGCTTTCCTCTCCCTCTTCTCCTGGAACACCGTATGTGCATGTTGGTATACTTGATGGTGGCTCACAGGTTTCTGCTCATGATTCTTCATTCTTCTTTCTGTTTGTCAAACTGGGTAATTTCAACTGGTCTATGTCAAGTTTTCTGATTCTTCTGTGTGCTCAAATCTGCTCTTGAGCCCCTCTGGTGAAATTTTCATTTCAGTTATTATACTTTTCAATTCCAGAATTTCTATTGAGCTCATTTTTATTTCTATCACTTTGTTATTTTCTATTTAGATGCAGTTTCCTTTAGCTCTTGAAATGTATTTTTAAAAACTTAATCTTTGACTTTAACTGCAAAATCTGGACTTCCTCAGGGACAGCTTCTACTATTGCCTTTTCTTACTATTTATTACTTTTTCTTCCTTGTTCTCTGCATATACTTTTTCTGTTGAAAACTGGACATTTTCATATGGCAGCTCTGGAGATCTAATTCTCCTCCCTCTGTGGTTTGTTGTCAGTATTCTCTCTGGTCTGTGGCTACTGAAGTCTCTACTCAATTAGCTTAGTGATCAGCTGAGGATTGGACAGAGATCTCCTATACACCCAAACCAATAAACCTCCCAGCCGTTGCTGAACAGCTCTGTGTGCTGGTTGGGGCACATATTCAGCACTCAGCCAGGCGGATGGCGATTCTGCTCTAGCCTTTGCTCCCTGCTTGCTCAAAACTCAAAATCATCGGAGGTACTCTCAGGTTCTCTTGACCATATACAGTCTTGAGCACCATGTGTGGCCTCTTAGATTCCCAAGAATAAGTCAGAGCTTTTCAAAACTCCTATGGACACCTTCCCCAGATTTTCCTTTTAAGCTTTGTGGTTAATCTTTCACCCAAGCTGTTATCCAATACCTCAGACAGCTGCAAAGTCAAAACATTTCCCTGTATTATTATTACTTTTAAAAATATTTTATTGATTTTTTTACAGAGAGGGATAGAGAGCCAGAAACATTGATGAGAGAGAGAGACAGACATCGATCAGCTACCTCCTGCACACCCCCTACTGGAGATGTGCCTGCAACCAAGGTACATGCCCTTGACCAGAATTGAACCCGGGACCCTTCAATTCGCAGGCCGATGCTCTATCCATTGAGCCAAACCTATTTCGGCCCTGTATTATTTTCAATACACATCCTCCAATGAGAGGACTGCTATTGTTGAGGAGATAAGCTCTAAGTCTTATAATGCGGTCTTTTTAAAAAATATATATTTTATTGATCTTTTACGGAGAGGAAAAGAGAGGGATAGAGAGTTAGAAACATTGATGAGAGAGAGAGATTAATATGGTCTTATAATAAGCATGTCTTCGAGGGAACCATCATATAGTCTAGTAATGCCAATTCTTTGGAATGAAACTGAAAGCACTCCAGCTCTGTTCTACCTCCTCCCAGTGGCTGTCACAGCTACCGTGGCATTGGAGATTGGAAGAATGGGACTAGGGCAGGTTAAAATGCTAAAAGAGTTGGTCGTTTCTCTGGAATAAACACTGTCCAGGTTACTGCAAGCCTTTGGTTTGATTCACAAGTTTCTGGGAAAAAGTTGATTCTGATGGCTTTTGCCAGTTTCAATATTGCCTTTAACAGAGGAGCAAATTTTTAAAAGTTGTTACTCCATCATTTTCTTCAACCTACTTTCTGAAACAGCTTTTTAAGATTCAAACAACTCTCCAATCAACATGCATTTAAGGACTCGAGTGGTGCAGCTGCTTGCAGAACCTGGGAATACAGGCCCTGGAGATAGCTCCCAGGGGATGGGGTGGGGCAAGGAGAAGCCAGCAAAATCATAGGCTTCTAGTGAACAGCAGAGCTGTGACTTGAACAAATAAATGGCAAGTACTTACCTGTATTTCATCTTATATCACCTATGCCCACTGAGGGCAAGAGAATTTGATAAACACACATTAAACAGTTGAGCTGTTATGTCACATCTATAAATCCCAAGACAATCTGCTTTCTCTTCAGATCGCATAAATCTTTCATCTTTTATAAACCCCAAGACATTGCTTAGCCAGAGTGACCCATAATGAGGAAGGCAGAAACAGCAATTTCCATTACTATGTGCCACTTTGTCTCTGTATCTCCTGAAAGCTCAGGGAGCTGAGTCAAGAATGGAAATGAGCATGGTAATCAAAGGGAGACGGATCTCTCCTATGGGAAGGACCAGCACCTCTGACCTTAGGGATTCTCTTAGCCCAAGAAGCTTTACAGGTCATTTGGGGAAAAGCCACCTTACTCTCTTAACAGTGCTTAGCCCATTGTAAGCCCACAATAAATACCTCACAAATCACAGAATGTAACTACCAGTTTCACAAATGGTCTTACCTGGGGTCCTGCATAGGGGAACCTCTCAGTCTGAGGGGTAGGTCCTGGGGAACAGGCTGCCCCAGAAGTCCCAGTGCTGGGAGGCCATTGGTTGTCACTGTTGCTGTAGCGATTCTTGGTCTTCATATAACTTTTAGTTTGCTTGCGAGATGAGCTTTTACGTGCATTATCTGAATCCTGTGGCAAGAGGTGTATGTGTTTAAAGTAACACTGAAAGACTAATCATCAGGGAAACACAAATCAATGAGGTATCACCTCACACCTGTCAAAAAGGCTACCATTAATAAGTCAATAAAAATTGTTGGTGAGTAACTGGAGAAAAAGGAACCCTCAGACACTATTGGTGGAATTCTAACTTGGTGCAGCCAATATGGAAATTTCTGAAATAATTAAAAATAGAGCTGCCATATGATCTATCAATTCCGTTCTGAGCATTTATCTGAAGAAAAAAACCCCGAATTCGAAAATATGTATGTGCCACTATATTCACTGCAGTATCCTATATAATAGAAGGCTAAGAGGCAAAAATGACTGAACAGTGGAACAACTGGTTGCTATGATGCACACTGACCATCAAGGGGAAGATGCTCAATGCAGGAGCTCCCCATGGTCAGTGACTCCCACAGGGAGAGGCCCACTCAGCCAGAAGCCAAGCTCATGGCTGGTGAGCTCAGGAGCAGTGGTGGGACCTCTCCTGCCTCCATGGCAGCACTAAGATGTCCACCTGGCAGCTCAGGTCTGCTCCCCATGGGGCACGGGCCAAAGCTGGCAGTCGGACATCCCCTAAGGATTCCTGGACAATGAGAGGGCACAGGCCAGGCTAAGAGTTCCCCCCAAGTACAAGAATTTTGTGCACTGGGCCTCTAGTTACTAATAAACAGTGTAGATATGGAAGCAACCTACGTATTCAACAGATGAAAAGATAAAAAAGATGTGGTATGTATATACAATGGAATAATTCTCAGCAATAAAAAAGAAAAAAATCTACCCAGCCAATATGGCTCAGTTGGTTGAGTGTACCAAGAGGTCACTGGTTCAATTCCCAATCAGGGCATATGCCCTATTGTGAGCTTGACTCCCAGTAGGAGCCATGTGGGAGGCAGCCAATCAATGTTACTCACTCATAGATGTTTCTATCTCTCCCTCTCCTTTCCTCTCTCTCTAAAAAGAAAAAAGTCAATGAAATCATTTAAAAAAAATAAAAAAGAGTGAAATCTTGCTATCTGTAACAATATGGATGGACCTAGAAGATATTATGCAAAGTAAAATAAGTCAGAGAAAGACATAGCATATGATTTCATTTAATAAATGAACAAAACAGGAACAGAACTACAGATATAGAGAACAAGCTAATGGTTACCAAAGGGGAGAGGGGTGGGGAAATGGGAACGAAAAAAAGACCCTGGGCTTGTGCAGCTCAGTGGTTAGGAGTGCTGGCCAGCACACTGAAAGGCAGAAAGTTTGATTTCCGGTCAAGAGCACATACCTGGATTACAGGTTTGGTCCTTGGCCCAAGTTGGGTGCATCTGAGAGGCAACCAATTGATGTGTCTCTCTCACATCAATGTTTCTCTCTCTCTCCCTCCCTCCCATACTTTATAAAAATCAATGGAAAAAATATATTCTTGGGTGAGGATTAAAAAAAAAAAAAATGGGTAGAAGAAGAGTGCATGAGCTTTGGGGTCATCTAAGCTGGGTTCATATCCCAGCTCTGTTACTAAGTAGTTATAGAACCTTAGACAAATCCCTTTGCTCCAAAAATAAAGTAACACTGAAAGTCTTGCAGCTGATGTGGCTGCATCCAAACTGCTCTCTGCCCCATGATTCCAGCTTCTACACTCAATCTGTGCCACTTCCCTCACAAGATTTGAAACTCCCCCACCTGCTACACAGAGGCTTCTACTGAGGTCACCTAATCCCGGGTAGTTCTCCTAGTGGCGCCCAACCTTGTATGTCCTAACACAGCACAGACATGCATTAAATCCTTGTTATGAGCCTTACCATCTCAAATGAACTGTTAGCATCCCCCGTGACTCCAGAACGAAGGGGAAGGAGAAGAGAGGTAAGAAACGAGGAGAGGCATACCTCATTGCTCTCCAAAGAGGCCTCGCTGCTGAGTCCTGGGGCTCTCGCCAGGCCCTCGCTGCTGCTGCTGCTCCGCACAGCCCCGAGGTGGGCACAGAAGGCCTGCTCTTCTGCCAACAGTGAAGACAGGACGCCTGTTGTAGTGACTCCCCAGAGTCTGAGCTGTTTCATCCACAGCACTCATCAGCTCCTTAGTTTACTGTGTTTCATGCTGACAGCCTGGCCTGACCCCTCCCCTCTACACACACAGACAGGGTTTTTGTCTGCTCTGTTCACTGGTAAACCCAAGTATTTAGAACAATGATTGGCACCCAGGGGACTCAGTAAACAGCTGCTGAATAGATGATACTTGATTATAGCAAAGACATTCCCTTCGGGCTCATCAATCAGGAAGCTAAACCTGTCGGGAACAACTCCCCAGACCCTGCACACAGGCACAGAGACATTGGCTGGAAGCTGCTTCTCTCTGCGCCATGCCAGGTTCTCTGACTCTCCTCCAAAGAGCCAGGGCCTTCTAAGTCTTCACCCTCTCACCCTCTACCCAGAGAGACTATCACAGCACCCGAGTCCCAGTAGGACGGATAGGGGTGGCACACATACCCCGGCTGCTGCTGCTGCTGCTCTCCACGTCCCGGTCGTTGATGGGGGAAGTGACATCCCTGCAGCAGAAGCCCCTTCCTTCCAGGGGGTTCTCATCACTACTGGTGAAGGTGACATAGCCCCGTGGAGGCACCTGCTCTGTGAACAGAATGGGGTACATAAACCCACACGAACACAAAAGGGAAGGAAAGTTCCTCCTTCCAAACGTGACCACCTCCTCAGAGGGACTTCAGCGTAAGGGAAGACCCAGGATCTAGGCAGCAGAAAGGAAAACTGTCTTCCTGGCCATAACCTCATCTGCTTGCCACAGTAACCTGGACATAAAGTCACATGCAGTTTTCAGGCGAGGAGAGCGGCTCTGAGGAGCTGAGAGACAATCCTGTGTCCCACAGCAAGAGCATGGGGGAGCCAAAGCACCTCGTCCAGCCTGGTGCCCTCTCCCACATTATGCTATTTCTTTTCCAAATGAAAAAGAAGGAAATGGGCCATCAACAAAGACTGAAAAGTTCAGCACAAGAAGCCCAAGATCCAGGTCATCTTCCTAAGGCTGTTGGTCAAGATACACAGGTTTTTGGCCAAACAAACCAACTCCACCTTCAACCATGTGGTGCTGAATAGATTGTTCAAGTGGCACCAGCCGGCCTCCTCTGTCCCTTTCCCGGATGGTCCGGAAGATGAAACTTCCAGCCATGATGTGCGTATCTACGAGGTGCCCAGACTGGAGGTGTGTGCACTTCGTGTGAGCAGCCTCTGTAGCCGCATCCTTAAGGCAGGGGCAGGATCCTCACCTTCGGCCAACTTGCCCTGGATTCCCCCAAGGGCTGCGGCCCTACTTCGCTTTCTGGTGCATCCAAGTGCCTCAGAGTGTATAAGCATTTCACAAGGCCCAGGAATGCCTCACAGCCAGACCAAACCCTACGTACGATCCAAGGGCTGGAAGTTCAAATGTCAAGAGGCTGACAGGTTAGCTGCAGCTACAAAAAAATAATCCTTGATCCTACCTTGTAATTAAGATTTTGGATGAAAAAAAAAAAAAAGAGTAGGAAATGGTAAGCTGAGTTTAAAGATTTCTGAGCAAAGAAAAAGTGTATGTTTTAGCTGGAAGCATCTAATCTCACACGCCAGCCTTTATGGTCCCTGGCATCTAAGGGGAATAGGCAACTAAGGGTTTCCTCCTCGGGTCAGTCAACCCCAGTCAAAAACAGATCTGGCTGAGCAGGAAGGTTGGAGGCTCTGGGCTAAAAATTAACTATAGTAACACCAAATTATACAACCTTTGGACATATCTGCCTGCAAGAAAACAAGGAGTAAAGGCAGAACACAAACCAGAGAGCTCCATTCCCATTTTGCCCTGTCCCTTCCCCACAGAAAGTACGTTTATTTGCATAAAACAGACTGGCTAACAAAGCCATGTCTAACTTCTTTTCTTCTAACTTCTTTTCTTTTTGTAGTTATCAACACTTTTTAAAATCTGCACATTTATTATTTAAAAATGTTTTTTTTAAAAAATATATTTTATTGATTTTTTACAGAGAGGAAGAGAGAGGGATAGAGAGTTAGAAACATCGATGAGAGAGAATAATGATCAGCTGCCTCTTGCACGCCTCCTACTGCGGATGTGCCCGCAACCAATGTACATGCCCTTGACTGGAATCGAACCCAGGACCTTTCAGTCCGCAGGCTGAGCGAAACCAGTTTCGGCTTAAAATGTTTTTTAATTGTTGGCAAAGACCACATGTTCCGATAGAAAATGTAAATATAACAAGTTGTGAGAAGAAAACTCTCCTAAAATGTCACAACCAAGTCAACTACCATCATTATTTTGGTGAACATTCTTCCAGCCTTTTCTATGGGTGCATAAAAGGAATAGTGTACAAATAGACTTCAGCCATGGATTATTTTGATAACGTGAAAGAATTCCATTTAATAAAAGCATCTGTCATATAGCTACACAGATTAATTACACCCCACCTCCAGGGAAGGCCCGTGCTTCCTATGCCCCTACCATATCTCAGGGTGGGACAGGTAGCATGGACTCCTCAAAAAGGAACAGACTCTACCACTCAAAACTAAAACAAGTCGGCCAAATGTCCCAGAGCCATGTGCTTCTAAGCACACCGGACAGGAAGGATATGAACTGTGCCCTCATCCTGCAGAAGGAGCTTGCCAGCAGCTGGGGGAGGGCCTTTCCCCGTAGCCAGTCAGCCCACCCCCCAAGGTCAACAGGAGAAGGCAGACTTTCAGTTCCCAACCTAGGACTCCTTCCAAGGGTCTTAGAAGGAAATCAAGTTACTAACATACTCCTGACTGAAATATGGTCTCCTCTGACTGGGAGAGTTGGTTTCTTCCAAGCCTAGGCTCATGAGGAGGACCCATGAACAGACACCCCTACCAGCCCACGAGACCAGCACCTGGCCAGGCCACTGATGGGTAATAGACACCATGGGAGATGTAACTTGTACATAAGCATGATTACTTGGTCAGGCCAGGGCGCATAAAACTCAACTTGCTCCAAGAACTATTGGCGCCTCCCGCACTGCCCAAGGGCACTGCACTCAACATTTAGGAACTAACAATTTGAGAATAAACTCGGGAGGTCTGGAAACTTGGGATCTAGGATTCTAGCCCACCAAGTGCATCATGTGACAATTCTCAGAAGGGCCTTAGCATCATATCCATCACCTGAGAAAAGAGCTAGAGAGAGCCGTTGGCCTGACCCAGAGGCATGCCCATCTCCAGCCGGCAAATGTGCTAAGTATCACACCCAGGGGCGGTAGCCAGAGACCGGAAATGAGACTCAAATGGCACCCTGTTCCTGCACTAGCTGCTTTACTATGTGATGAATCAAATCTGAGCAAAGCGACATTTCTGCTACTGTTATTTGTAATTTTAACCAATGAAAACTCAAAGGATGAACACAAACCCAAGAACTAGCCACGGACTAATATATTTCTACCACTGTCATCAATCTGGAATCTTTGAGCTGCTGCTCCAGCCCAGTGGCCCACATTTCAGGAACCTGAGAGTTGTTCCTTTTCATCCAGACAGAATGCGTGAACGAACTATCAGAAAGCCATCAGGAAACAGGGAATGCTCACCATAGCAAGATGGCTGGATCTTGCCTCCGAGTCCAATGGCTGTGATTCTAGCCAAGGCCCGAGGCCCCTCGTGGATGCTGAGGCCCTTCTTCCGATAGGGCCTCTGTCTCTGAGGAACAGGACAGGATTCATCTGAAGAGCTCAGATCTTCATATTTTTCTGTGAGTCAAACACAAAAATTAAGACAATTCTCCAGTCCAGTGTGGCTCAGTTGGTTGAGCATCATCCCATGCACTAAAAGATCACCAATTCAATTCCCAATCAGGGCACACACTAGGCTGTGGTTTGATCCCCTATCAGGGTGCATGCAGGAGGCAGCAGATCGAGTTTCTCTCTCTCCTTCTCCCTTCCTCTCTCTAAAATCAATAAAAATATATTTTAAAAAACTTTGTAGAGTGGTGAGGGACTAATCTTCATAGTGAACTGAAAGACAATCACCATAATTGGTTTTCTTAAGTCAAGAAGCATAAGTTTTCCAGGACTTCATGTGTAAGAAATGATGTAATGGGATTTACAGTTGAGATGGTGGAGAATACTGAATGTCAACTATAACTGAACTTTTTTTTAATTTCTAAAAAAGAAAATTTTTAAAAATGTCATAATGGGCCAGTCCACTGCTGAGATGGGCTACAGGGACATTTGGGGGAACAGCAAGCTTGCTGAATATGAGCTGAACTGAAAGCATCTGTGAAAAGGGGGTGTAGTTCTTATTTCTTATGCCTCTCATTGTCTGGGTTTGAAGAATTTTTTATAACAAGCATGTATTATATTTACAATTGGAAATAAATTTTGTTCTAAGTTGAAGAGATAAATAATACCTATTCATAAACATTTGGAGCATCATGTCTTCTTTTTTTTTTGGGGGGGGGAGGTGACCTTGGTCTGTGGGTGCTTTCTTTTTTATTATTATTATTATTATTATTATTATTTTTAATAAATCTAGCATCATGACTTCTTGGCAATTTTATATTCTCAATCTCAATAACTATTGAGGAAACAAGCTCTGTGTGCTGTTTTAGGAAGTATTTCAAATTAGCACTCATCTGAGCTTAAATGTTTAGTCATTACTGTTTTATTGCTGTACATAGTTGCCTATATTTCATCATACCTAAAGGCAAAATTCATGGATATATTTGTATTAGGCTCCCATCTTATTTTGGAGTTGATAAGCAGGGGCGGAGATGCAGAGAAGTCTCTGATTACCACTGTACGTGTGAGCTGGTGTTTATGACAAAACAATCCTGAGGCCAGGAGGAGAGTTGGGCAGAGCCAGAACCTGGAAAGGGGGAAGGTTCACTCAGATGTGAACCGAGAGCTCAACTCTCAGAGACTGCCTGGCAAGTCAGGGAGTTACTGACCCTGGTTCCAAACTCAGGCCAGTGACGCAAGTGAACCAGTCCCACCGTTCCTTACTCAACTCACTAGGAGACCCTGGTCCTGCCCAAGCAGAACATGGAATCACAAAGAGTAAGGGTACAAGGGAGGGGGAACCAAGGAAAAGGCAGCTCTGTGAATCTAAACCTCCCAACAGGTACTCTCAGACCTGCACAAGTCAGCAGAGAGAACCTCACAAATCCCACACCTTCAGCAAGACGGAGCTGGCAGAGAGCACCCCCAACTTCATAGTTCCTGCTGCTGCGAGGAGCAGACAGTGACCTTCTCCAGCAAAGAGCGAGCCGGCTTGCTCACCTCTATTCTCTGTGGGCAACAAAGCAGATCTAGGAAAAACCACACAGAGGAGAGACGATGGGGAAGACAAAGTCCACTCTATGGGCAAAAATACTAAAAACAGATCCTGGTGGCGTGGAGCATGACCCCGGGAAGTGACTTAAGAATGCACATGGGTCTGAGGGGACAGGCAGAGGAGCAGCAGGCCTTTTGAGGAGAGAGACCTCTGGAAACTGGGTAGTGAAGAGGAAAAGCAAGCAAAACAAAATTATATCAGAGGACACATAATGCTTGGTCCAACTACATCCCCTTCCAAAAAGAGGTCACCTAGTAAGAAGGCTGTCCCTGGTACTGGGGAGGAGGCCGCTCCTGGACCAGGCCACTAAGCTCTGTCCGCGAAATGCGGAAGCACCAGCCATCTTCGCCTACACACAAATACCACAGGGAGCTCATAAAAGCAGGAATCAAACACAAGCAAGTAAAAACATTCCTTCCCTCTCTCCAAAACTCAACTGAGGAGTAGGCAGAAAAACTGTGACATGACACTCTAAACTACACATCCTTCCATAGCACCTGAGGACAGGAAAAGGCACCCTGAACCCAAAACCCAAAATTCAAAACTGAGAACAAAAAGGCACATGTATGCACACACACACACACACACACACACACACACACACAATATGAAACCATGTCAGTACTAGAAGAAAACATGGATGAATTATTGTACAACTAGGGCACAGGGAAAGGTTTTCTTTTTAATCCTCATCCTGGGATATTTTTACCCAGGATGATCTTTTTAAAAATATATGTTTTTTTATTCATTTCAGAGAGGAAGGGAGAGGGAGAGAGAGATACATCAGTGATGAGCCGCTTCCTGCATGCCCCACACCAGGGATCGAATCCGCAACTCGGGTATGTGCCCTGACTAGAAATCAAACCATAGGCTGACACTCAAGCACTGAGCCATGCTGGCTGGGCTCCATTGATCTTTAGAAAGAGAGTGAAAGGGAGAGAGAAACATCAATGAGAGAGATACATTGATTGGTGGCCTCCTGCACGTGCCCTGACCAGGGGGCCAGGATGGAATATACAACCTTGGTACATGCCCTTGACCAGGATTCGAATCTGAGACCCTTCAGTGCTTGGGCTGACACACTTAACTGAGCACACTGGCCAGGGCAGGGAAAGATTTTATGATTCAAAATCCAGAGGAAAGAACATTGATGAAGTTGACTATATAAATTAAAACATTTTGCACAGCAACAAGCACCATTAGAAAATCAAGAAATAAGACCCAGAAGCCAGCCCCCTTGTGAGGCTGCACTCCTACGTCTGGGTGGGCATATCCTGGGTACCCGAATTCAGCCTGGTGGGTACCACTCTACACCCTAACCAACTGGTCCTTAGACAAGCAGGCCTCAACTCTGACTGCAAAATGGAGTCGTCAGGGGAGGCAGAGGTCTGGCAAGGCTGCAGGAGCCAAATCTTTTACAGTAGGTGAGAGCAGGGGGAGGGACTCCAGGAAAGAGTGAGGCCGCAGATACAGGTACCTGGGTTCCGATAGAGGCTCTTGGGCAGAGAAAGCGAGTGAGTATCTATCAGCCCCACTATCTTCATGTGTCCATACTGCTTGGCCAGCATTCGGGCTGTGGCTCCACTGTGGTCCCGTGTGTCCACTTTGACTCCCTATGAAAAGGTAAAAGAGCAAGAGTCAGGAACCTCCCCTGCAAAGCACCCTCACTGCCAGAGCTGTGCACCCAGGATGAGAGGAGCAATGGCATCTCATCACCATCTCGGAGAGGCCTGCACCGGGTCCTCTAAGACTTCACAACGTGGGGAGAAAAGGCAAGGGCCTGTGTGGTCTCACTCTCGGTGCTGAAAGTGGGGTATAGCAATGGGCTTGCTGGCTTGTCAAATAACACATTAACCCAGCCATCTCACAGCTGAGGCAGCTCCCAGGTTCACTGCCTTTGGCTTTCAGCCACCGTGGGGCAGGCAGGTACTTAAGGGAGAGAGGCGATCAGGTGCTCTGGGCGAGGATACAGTCAGGTTGCTGTGAGCGAGAGCCCACCTTCACCCTTGGCACCCAGGCATGCGTCCACCTCACTGCATTCTCTTCACACAGAAAATTGGAGACAACAGATTTGGTAAAGAAGCAGCCTTTAAAAAGCATAATCAGAACAAGAGCCCTACCCTTCTGAAACAGAATTAGTAACTTATCCTAAGCCCTAAAATGTACTTATTGTATATAGCACTGTAATTCTACTTCTGTGACTCTATACTAAGGAAATAGTCCCAAATACACAGAGAAAGCTTTTACGCACAAAGATGTTTAGCACAACATTTTTGCAATAACAAAAACCCAGAGACAACTTAAATGCTCAGAGATAGAGAGTTCACTATGTTACTGTCATACAAATAATTGGTATAACCAAGTTTTTAAAAGAACCAGGGGACAAAACTGTATACGCATTCCAATTACAGCAAAACAACAAAGTACTAATATACAGAAAGCACACTGGAAATATGCCCAAACTGTTAATATTATTTTAAATATTTTATACTTTCTAAACTTATTTCTATGAGCATGTTTACTTTTGAAAATAGAAAAGCCCAATAAATTTTCCGTTTTCAAAGCTTCAACCATGTGGTCTCATATCTGCAGATGAGACTACCAGATATTGGAGCTCAGTGCTTTGGAAGGCATTATCAGCAAGAGAAAGTCAAAACATTAAAAGTGCACATACTCCAAAACTGGTTTGGCTCTGTGGATAGAGCATCAGCCCACAGACTGAAGGATCCCAGGTTCGATTCCGGTCATGTACCTTGGTTGCGGGCACATTCCCAGCAGGGGGGGTGTTCAGGAGGCAGCTGATCAATGATTCTCTCTCATCAATGTTTCTAACTCTCTATCCCTCTCTCCTCCTCTCTGTAAAAATATCAATAAAATAAAATAAAAAAATAAATAAAAAGAAGTGCACATACCCTGCCCTGGCTGGTGGCTCAGTTGGCTGGGCATCATCCCATGCACCAAAAGGTTGCCAGTACGATTCCCGGTCAGGGCACATGCCCATGTTGTGGGCTCCATCCCTGGTCAGGGCACGTATGAGAGGCAACTGATCAATGTTTCTTTCTCACATTGATGTTTCTCTATCCCTTCCTTTCTTTCTAAAAATCAATAAACATCCTCAGGTGAGGACTGAAAAAAAAAAAGGAAAAAAAAAAGATAATTTCTAGAGGGGAAGGGGGAACTGGGTGAAGGTGGTCAAAGGTACAAACTTTCAATTATAAAATAAAAAAATACTAGGGGTGTAATGTACAACATGATGACTACAGTGAGCACAACTATAAGATGTACAGGAAAAGTTGTTGAGAGAAATCCTAAGAGCTCTCATTACAAGTTAAAACACAGAGCCCTGGCCTGTGTACTCAGCCTGCACACCAAAGGGTCTCAAGTTCAGTTCTTGGGAAAAAGCTCATACCTGGGTTTCAGGTTCACTCCCCACCCCATCTGGGCATGTGCAGGAGGCAACCAGTTGATGTGTCTCTCTCACTCAATGTTTCTTTCTCTTTCTCTCTTTCTCCTCCATCCCCTCCTGCTCATCCCTCCCTTCCACTCTAGCTGAAAAGCAATAGAAAAAAAATATCCTCAGGTAAGGATTAACACCCCCTACAAAATACATAGAGTAGGGCAAAAGTAGGTTTACAGTTGTGAGTACACAAGAGTTTATTCTTGTGTCATTATTCATTAATTATTTTATTATTTTCCATATGAACTGTCAACCTACTTTTGCCCTACCCTGTATATATCTTTTCTATGAGATGATAGATGTTAACTAAACTTATCGTGGTAATCACCTCACATATACATAAGTCAAATCAACTTATATAGTGATGTGTATCAATTATTTCAAAAACTGGTGGGGGCCGAAACCGGTTTGGCTCAGTGGATAGAGTGTCGGCCTGCGAACTGAAAGGTCCCAGGTTCGATTCCGGTCAAGGGCATGTACCTTGGTTGCAGGCACATCCCCTGTAGGGGGTGTGCAAGAGGCAGCTGATCGATGGTTCTCTCTCATCGATGTTTCTAACTCTCTATTCCTCTCTCTTCCTCTCTGTAAAAAATCAATAAAATATATATATATATATATATATATATATATATATATATATATATATATATATATATTTATTTATTTTTTAAACACTTCAACCTTCTACTTTTAGTATTGAACTCTACAGGCAAATCCATTGGCCTGGGATTTCTAGTTTCAGTTTGATAAAAGAAACCCAAAGGTTTCCATGAGAACAAAAATACTATTTTCACAGTAGGGTTTTACCTAGTATCTGTTATTAAACCTGAAGACCTCAATCTCAGGCTAGACCAAAGCAATACTATTCCTTAACAAGAAATAAGGAAGAAAAGAGACCCCAGAACAAGAAGGTCCCTGAGGTGAGGAAAGAAGAGTATAAGAATTTCTATCTATTCACTCTTTAAATGTTTTCCAAATTTTCCTATTTTATAATGTACATAAATTATAAGAAAATTACATGATCAACATCATTGTAACTGACAGGAAAGTGGGATCCCAGTTTAGAGACCATGGATCAGTAGTAACGTGGGAGCACTGATCAGCTGGAGGACCACTGATCAACTCTCAGCTCCCTCCTGAGAGAGGCCCAAACACACCCTGGTCATCCTGCCCAGACTGAGCTGCTGGAGTCTGCCCCCACTGCAAGGGAAAAGGGGTTCGAGGGAAGCAGCCACAGCCCTTTCCTCTCCTGGCGAAGGGTTTGAGGTGCCTGGCCTCATGCACTTCTCCATCTCCAGGAAAGAAGCCTGGTTCTGGTGGGACCTGATAGGCCACCCCTCTGGCTAACCAAGGAACATGAGTGGTCATGCAGGACTAGCCGGACAGCCTCCCCAGCAGTGGAGCAAACTGGTCCATCAGCCACACGCTCTACTGGTAAGCTGTGCCCACCGGCCACCACAGCCAGAGGCAATTGCTTGGAATTGGCCAACAACTTTGCTGATTAGTGAGCTCAAGGAAGAACTCCATGGATTTCCTGAGTTTGATAACGTATGCAAGAATGAAAGAGAAAATTCTTGTTTTTAGGAGATACATATGAAAGTAGTTAGGGGAGAAAGGGCATTATGTTAGCAACTTATTTTCAAATAATTTTTAAAAGATTATATGTAAAAAAAAAAAAAAAAAAAAAAAAAAAAGATTATATGTAGCCGAAACCGGTTTGGCTCAGTGGATAGAGCATTGGCCTGGGGACTGAAAGGTCCCAGGTTCGATTCCAGGCAAGGGCACGTACTTTGGTTGCGGGCACATCCCCAGTAGGAGGTGTGAAAGAGGCAGCTGATTGATGTTTCTCTCTCATCGAAGTTTCTAACTCTCTATCCCTCTCTCTTCTTCTATGTAAAAAAAAAAAAAAAAAAAAAAAAAATATATATATATATATATATATATATATATATATATATATATATATATATATATATATAAAAGATTATATGTAGCCTGATTGGTATGGTTCAGGAGGTCATGGTTCGATTCCCAGTCAGGGAACATGCCCAGGCTGGGGGGCTCAATCCCCAATGTGGGGAGTGAAGGAGGAAACCAATAAATGATTCTTTCATCACTGATGTTTCTGTCTCTCTCTCCTTCTCCCTTCCTCTCTGAAATCCATAAAAAGACATTTTTTAAAATATTGTATGTGTTTATATATAGAAAGACATGAAATGTTAACATTGGGGAATCTAGCAAAGGTACACAAATTCTGTGTACTATTTGTGATGTTTAAGTCTGAAATTATTTCAAAGTTTAAAATTTTTTAAATTTTCCAAAAGAAATCCAATACAATTTGTTTTCCCTGAGTACAGTTGCCCATACACGGTCTTAGGCCCAACTGGGGAATAAAGAATCTTGACGAAAGATTAAATGATATAAGGTCTCTGATTTACCAATATGTTTTCGTTTAAAAACTATATAAGTAACTGTCTCTTACAATTTTCAGTTCCACATTACTTAAAATCAGAGTCTAAACTCAGAAGCAGAGGTTATGCTTCTTACAGTTCTGGGCTCATATATATATATTTTTTTCTGTCCATCGATTCTTTTTTGTTTTTCTTATAATTTTTCTCTGTCTTAAGGATCCTACTCTGTGTAAGAAGGTTTATCTTCAAAGAGTAATTATTTGTAGAAAAGGAAGCCCAAATGGCTAATATATGAAAAGATGCCACAACTCACCAGAAATCTGGAACGGCAAAAATCAATAGGAGACAACTCGTCTGATACCACATAGCAACTGTTATTGAGGGTGTGAGAGGCAAAAGCTATAAAATACTATCGGAAAAGTGTAAAGAAGGACAACAATGGAAGAAAGCAAGTTAACACTCTCTAGTGCAGATGCACCCACTGTACGCACCAAAGTTCTACTTTGAAGATTAATTACATCCTGGTCTCCCAGAGAAATCCCTTCACACATGCTTGAGAAGACAGGTAAAAAAAAATGTGAACTACAGCACTGCTAGGAATAGCTGAGTGAACACAACTTAAATGTCCACTAAAAAAAAAAATGATAAATTTATTTATACAGTCAATAAGTGCAGAGCTGTTAAAATGAGTGAATGACGTCTAATTTACCCACAATGTGGAATGACACACACTTTCTGGCATGTTATTTATATGAATCTTTAAAACATATAAAAACAAGCCCGTGCATTGCCTAAGGACACACAGTATGTGATGAAAAGATCAAAATCAGAGACAGGAAAGGTACAGACCAGCAGCTGGATAGTGGTGATCTCTGGATCATGTGGGTTAGCTGCATTATCTTCTGTGCTTTTTTACATGTTTAAAGTACTTCACAATTTAAGATTCACAATTCTTGCTGCTGTGGAAAGAGTGTCAGTTGGTACAATTTGTTCTTCGGATGGCAATTTGGCAACATCCATGTTAATTTAAGATTGTACTTACACTTCAACCTTCTACTTTTAGTATTGAACTCTACAGAGGTGGCTGCACATATGTGCAAATACATATGTGCACAGATATTCTCAAAGCACTGTACATAATGGCAAATGGTTGGCAACAATCCAATTCTATCTAGACCACTTTAAAGAAATTGATTCATTCCTACAAAGGAGCACAATGCCACACACATAAGAAAAAAGCCTTAGCCCTGGCTGGTTTGGCTCAGTGGATAGAGCATCAGCCTAAGGGGTCCCGGGTTCGATTCTGGACAAGGGCATATGTCCCAGCTGCGGGCTCAATCCCCAGGGGGAGCATGCAGGGGGCAGCCAATCAATGATTCTCTCTCATCATTGATATTTCTCTCTTCCCCTCTCCCTTCCTTTCTGAAGTCAATAAAAATATATATATTTTTTAATTTAAAAAGAAAAAAAGCTTTATATGCTGATATAAAACAGTATCGAGGATAGACAATTAAGCTTAAAAAAAAAAAAAAAGGTAAGTTGGGGAGCAGCCACATGAGAATGACCAAGAGACTGAGGCAAAGGCCAGAGGCAGGCTCACTGTGTATCTTCTCTCATCTGCATTTTTACCATGTAAATGTACTGTCCACAAATTCCCATTTCAGTGGAGAGAGTGTCAGCCTGCAGACCAAAGGGTCCTGGGTTTGATTCCGGTCAAGGACACATATCTGGTTGCAGGCTCCTCCCCGGCCCAGCCTCTGGCTGGGGCACATGCAGGAGGCAACCAATCAATATGTTTCTCACACATCAATATTTCTCTCTGTCATTCCCTCTCTTTTCTACTCTCTCTAAAAATCAATGAAAAATATCCTTGGGTGAGGATTAAAAATAAGTAAGTAAATAAAAAAATGTTGCCCTCGCTGATTTGGATCATTGGATAGAGAGTCAGCCTGTGTACCGAAGGGTCCCAGGTTCGATTCCGGCCAAGGGCACATGCCTGGGGTCGCCAGCTCGATCTCCAGTAGGGGGCGTGCAAAAGGCAGCCAATTAATGATTCTCTCTCATCACTGATGTTTCTATCTCTCTCTCCCCCCTCTCCCATTCTCTCTGAAATCAATAAAAATATATATATTTTAAAATGTTAACATTTTATTATTCTAAAATTCCCACCAATAAGTAAGAAAACACACAACTATACAATAGAAAATTGGGCCCAAAATATAAAGACAATTCATCAAAAAATTACAAATGGCCAATATACTTTAAAATGCTCAACCTCATTAGCAAGTACACACCAAAACGAGATGCCACTCTTCTCCCACCATATTGGAAAGCACTTAAGGTGGGTAACCTCCCATCTTAAGGGCTGGTGAGGACATGAGAAAATGAGCACCTTCGTATATTATTGGTGGAAAGAACAGAAACAACTTTTTAGTGGGAATTTAGTTAGGACTTTACATATCAACTAAATATTTCTCCTTCTGGATTTTTAAAACAACTTTATTAAGATATAATTCACATACTATGCAATTCACCTACTTATAGTGTATAATTCAATGGTGTGCCACCATCCCCACAATCAATTTCAGGACTTCTTCATCACCTTAAATAGAAATCTTGCATCCCTTAACCACCACCCTCTCCCCAATCTTCCCAGCCCCTCTAGCCCGAGGCAACTACTAATCTACTTGTGTCTCTATAGCTTTGCTTATCCTGGACATCTATATATATATAAAAAGCCAGAAACCATCGGAATGACCAGAACTGGTCACTATGACACCTCCTGCAGCCAGCGAACCAGCCCAAACAGGGGATGGGGCCAGCCGGCCAATCTCCTGCGGCCCCTCCCCCTAAACAGCCTTGCTCCTGACTGTATTCTCCCACCCAGATCAAGGGTAGGGTGGCTGGCCAACTCCCCACCCCTTGGCCTCTCCTCCCCACTCCAGGCTGGCCCCACCCAATTGGCCACAGCTCCTCCCTCTGGCTGGCCCCACGTCTGATTGCCCCCCCCTCCACACCCCAATCAGTCTGCAGCCCCTCTCCCAGCCAGCTACACCCCAATCACACCCTTCACCCCAATCAGGGACAGGGCCCACCAGCCAATCACCCGCAGCCCCTCCCCCCAGCTGGCCCAGCCCTGATCAGGGAGGTTGGTTGGGAGGCCTACCATGGTCTCCTCCTGACAGGCCGGGCCCTGATCTGTCCCTATTGGGGCCAGCCAATTGAACCCCACCCATGTCGTGCACTGGGTCTCTAGTTTCACATAAAAGGAATCATACAATATGTGGTTGCACCTGGCTTTCACTGAGCATTATTTTCAAGGTTCATCTTTTTATGCCTGATTAATTTTGTATGAATATAACACATTTTATTTATCCATTTGTCAGCTGATGGAAATTTAGGTTGTTTCCAACTTTTATTATAAATAACACTGCTATGGACATTTGTGTTTAAGTTTTCGCATGGACATATTTTCAGTTCTCTCATCTATGTAGCTGAGTGGAATTGCTGAATCACAGGGTAACTACTATGTTTGACTGTTTGAGGAATTGCCAGACTGTTTCCCATAAGCAATGCATGAGGGTTCCAATTTTTCCACATCCTCACTAACTCTTGTTATAGTCCATTTCTTTTTCATTATAGACATCCTAAGAGTTTTGATTTACATTTCCCTGATGACTAATGATGTCAAGTATTTTTTTCACATGCTTATTGGCCATCTATATATTTTCTTTGGTGAAATATCTATTTGGATCCTTTTACACATCTTTTAATTATCTTTTTATTAGGACCCATTAAATTTAAAATATGAGCATCAGTAATCCCTCTTGTATAAATACAATATACAGCCGAAACCAGTTTGGCTCAGTGGATAGAGCATCGGTCTGCGGACTGAAAGGTCCCAGGTTCGATTCTGGTCAAAGGCATGTACATTGGTTGTGAGCACATCCCCAGTGGGGATGTGCAGGAGGCAGCTGGTCAATGTTTCTCTCTCATCGATGTTTCTGGCTCTCTATCCCTCTCCCTTCCTCTGTGTGAAAAATCAATAAAATATATATATTTTTAAAAAGGATAAGATGTCTATAGTATATTAAGAGATCTTTTTTCTTTTTTAAATCATCTTTTTAAAAGCTGTAGATCAGCTAAAACCGGTTTGGCTCAGTGGACAGAGCGTCAGTCTGTGGACTAAAGGGTTCCAGGTTCGATTCTGGTCAGGGGCGGGTACACTGGTTGTGGGCACATCCCCAGTGGCGGGTGTGCAGAGGGCGGCTGGTCGATGTTCCTCTCTCATTGATGTTTCTAGCTCTCTATCCCTCTCTCTTCCTCTCTGTAGAAAATCAATAAAATATGTACTGTGTGTGTGTGTGTGTGTGTGTGTGCGTATATATATATATATATATATATATATATATATATATATATATAAAAAGCTGCAGATCAAATATACAGGAAAATTCCACTTTGTCCAAAATAAAAAGCATTTTTTGCAGGCATCTTTAGACATGCCTTTCTAAGCACAAGAAAAGTCCTGGGGTGTCTCTTTATCCAACCGAGTGAGCATCTTGGGGAGGAGCAGGGAGTGGTTGAAAAGGGAAGATCCTTGCCTTTTTACTCTATATACTTTTCTTTAAGTATTGGAATTTTTAAAAAATGTATTTTCCATACTTTTCAAACAATATTTTAAAAATTCTTACAGGAAGAGGTGTCTATTTTTATTCATCACTGTACCTTTAAATGCCTAAGTGTCACAACACTTGACATCAATGGATTCTCAATGAAAATGTATTGAATAATAAAGAGCAATTCTTTCTACATAGCAGAAAATTGGTATAGTTTACTAGAGGCCTGGTGCATGAATTTGTGAATGGTGGGGTCCCTTAGCCTGGCTGGTGATCGAGGCCTATGGGGGAGCTGGCCAGCCGGGGGCAGGGACCCTGGGAGTTGGCTTACCATCCCCTTGCCCTGATTGGGGTCCAGGAGGAGGGACCACAGGAGGTTGGCCAGCCAGCCCCCCACACACACACCCCTCATTGAGGTTGATGGGGGAGCTGGCTGGCCAGGGGTAGGAGCTGTGGAGGTTGGCTATGGGAGAGTACTAACCACCAGGGGCAATTCCTGTATTGAGCATCTGCCCCCTGGTGGTCAGTGCACATTATAGCGACTGGTCAATTGGTCATTTGATTATAAAGGTCACTTAGGCTTTTATATATATAGATACTTCAGTGATGATTCATCACTTGCTATAACTAAGTTATAAGCTAACAAAGAGGGTCACTTACATGATTCAGAAAATACTGCACAATTATTTCATGGCCAGAAGCAGCTGCTTCCATCAAAGGGGTGAATCCATAAATTGGCTCCCTGCAAGACAGAGGCCACAGTTCAATGATAAGAAGAGAGTTCTTCCCTTATGCAAACAAAACCAAGCTGATGTCCCTGGCTGGTGTTCCTAAGTGATTAAAGGCACATCCTGAGTTGCAGGTTTAATCCTTGGCCCCCAATCAGGGCACATACAGGAGGCAACCAATCAATGTGTCTCTCTCACATTGATGTTTCTCTCTCTCCCTCCCTCCTTTGTTTCCACACTCTCTAAAAATTAATGGAAAAAAATAACCTCAGTTGAGGATTAAAAAAACAAACCAAGCTGATGCAAAGTCACCCATCCCTTACTGCAGAGGTCTCCCTTGAGAAAGAATTACCGGGAAAAGATGAGAAAAGTTCTTATCAACACACCAGCTTCATAAACTCTTCTGGTTTCCACCCCACTCTAGTATTTTGTCCTAAAGACATTCTGTCTCCCTACTCCTTCTAAGCTGTCTGCACCTGCTATCTCTTAAGTCTCCACTTGAATCGCCTGCAAAAAGTAGCTACTGCCCTTCACTGTTCATAGAAAGCTTAGGTCTCCCATCCACCTATTCAGACCCTATCTTTTCAGTTCAGTATCCTCCAGGTATCTTCCCCAAAGCTCTGAGAATAATAATCTACCTGCTTTTGCTACACCTGGTACCCAATGCTTACTTTCTGTGCTTGGTTATGGTTAACTCAGCACTGTCTTCAGAGTGCCCCTTAATCCTCACTTCTTTCATGCTAGTCTAGAAGACAGAAACCAAGCTAAATACTGGATTTCTGCCCTTCTAAAACACACTGTTTTCACATTTTAATATCTCTGCAGTCAGAATGTGTCTCAAAATCCATAGGTGAGTTGCAGTTTAATTAGTGGTATTTTTTCTTTCTTGATGACATGTAAATCTATGGTGTATCTCATAATAGATAACATCAACTGAGGGCTGTGGAAGGACCAATTGGATGCTGTGTTGAAAGGGGAGGTAGAGAGCAGGAGGGAGGGGAGGGCACAGAAGGTAAAGAGGGATAAATGGTGATGAAAGGAGATTTGACTTGGGGTGGTAAACACACAATACAACATATATAATAGATGATGTATTGTAGCACTGTATACCCGGAACCTGAGTAATTTTATTAATCAATATCAGCCCAATAAATTCAATAAAAATAAAGAAAAGAAAGGGGATTATCATGATGACAGCTTTAGACAAGATCCCTTCCAGCTTATAAAACTCATGACTGTTTTCAAAGCAACACCTCACCTGATAAGGCCAAAAGGAAAGAGAAAGGAATTAGCATTTAATGCATTTCAATTAAGTGCCATCCACTATGTTAGGCCCTTGACATACATAAAATAACATGTAATGGCCTTAGCTGGTTTGGCTCAGTGAATAAAGCATCAGCCTGTGTATTGAAAGGTCCCAGGTGTGATTCCAGTTAAGGGCACATGCCTGGGTTGTGGGCTCAATCCCCAGTGGAAGACTTGCAGGAGGCAGCTGATCCATGATTATCTCTTATCATGGATGTTTTTATCTCTCTCTCCCTCTTCCTTCCTCTTTGAAATCAATAAAAATATTTTAAAAATAACAAAATAACATGTAATTCTTTCTAACAACTCTATGACATAGATATTGCTATTCTGTTTTCAGATGAAGAAAATAAGGCTCAGAGAGTTTTGTGTTTTTTTTTATAGCAAAGGTGGAAATTTATTGAAGAACAAGCACAGACTCCCACATGGGAAAGGGAAAGAATCACATAGCACTCCCACGTGCGGAGGGGGAAAGAGTCCTGAGCTCAGAGAGCTTAAAGCCCTGCACCCAATGTTACCTGACAGATGTGTAAAAAGAACAGAATTGTCCCTAGGCCTCCTGTCTCTTTGCCACTTTGTCTGAACCCCTCATATGGAGGAGGGGCTGCCCTGACTGGCCTGTAGCTGCCTATATAGTTGCCCTCAGAGTAAGATGTGACTATATCCATTCCTATGGCTACTTAAGACCTGGTAATCACCTCACGTTGGCATTTGCTCCACTGTCCAAAAGGAACTTGACCATCTGCTGATGTCCTGCGCTGGTGCAGTGGAAGAGGGCAGTCCAGCCTTGAATGTCCTTCATTTCTAGCTCAGCGCCTTGCTTCAAGAGAACACAGAATGCTTGTTACGGCCTCGTCTCCTCTACGTGGGGCGGGTGCCCTCCTGGTCATCATGCTGAAAGAATCAAAGCGATTACACGCACACGCACACCATGGCCTACAGTGGTTCATATCTCTGCCAGAGCAGTCAGGAGCCCCTCAGGTTTCTGGGCCTGAGTCCCCCCATAGCTCACCTGGAGAAGAAAGTAGGCGATGCTCTCGTTGCCACAGCTGGAAGCAAGCATCAGTGGAGTCTGCCCTTCCGGGGTCGGCACATTCACACTCACCCCCGCCTCGAGCAGCAGGTGCACGATGGTATCGTGTCCAATGTAGGAGGCATACATCAGCGGGGTCCAGCCACCACCATTCTTCTTATTCAAATCTACCTCTCTCCTAAACAAATGCAAGATATGCTAGCCATGCCCAGCCATCTCACATGTGGGTTACCAGAGCCAGAGTCAAGGCCAGGAATGAAGCTAAACATCGTATAGTGCACAGGACAGCCCCCACCACAAAGAATGATCTGGCCCAGATTGTCGGTAGTGCCAAGATCGAGAAATCCTGACCTGGAGCCTTGACTACCTTCCACCAACAGACCAGTCTCTTAGTCAGTGCTGGGGGGGAGAGGAAGAGACTTAGACAATGGAATTCCACTGCAACTGATTTCCCCTTTGTCATCCTACCCTACAGAAACATTCTTAGAAAACCCGTGACCAAATAATCCTATCTTTCTCTCTGATTTCCATTAAATTTCTAGAAAAGCATTTCCTAGAGGAAAAAAAAAAAATGTGAGCTTCCCAAGTATGGAAATAACATCCACTTCCAGGAACATCTTCTGTAGTTTATGCCCCACAGCCGTTCCTCTTCCACCATCCATGCCTCCAGTGGAGCTATTCAATCTGCTCCACACAGCTTGTGCCTCTCATAGGTGTGCACATAATAAACCATATCGTTCACTAGCATCTTCTATTGACTCTGGAATGCCCATACAGCCTTCTCAAAGGTCCTGATTCCAGGACTGCAGTAACAGCCACTGGCTGGGAGAGCCACATGAAGAGCAATTTGTCCTCACCATGTGACATTCATTGATGGAGCACTCAACTCCACATGGAGGAGGAAGGACCTGACCCTTGGCAGAACATATCTGAGGCCCTCACACCTCCCATCAGCCCAATCCCCCCATTCTAATGCTTCCAACATCTTGGATCCTCAGTCTATCTTATCGTGAGCAAGCCTTAGGATTGGCTGGGATCACAATCCCCATCAGAACACAAACATTTCCCTCTTCTCTTCTGGGGAGCCATCTGGACTGTGCATTTTACCAGAATACCAAAGTTAAAAGCCCCCAAACACCATAGCAGCATTATCAATGGGGTTTTGGTGACCCTGGAGTGGGGGGTGAGATACACAATCCCAAGGCCACCTGGTACAGGAGTACAATAATATCCCTCACCACAGTGCACTTGCACTTGACTGGCCAGATTTTTTTTAAGTGATGGCTATGACTTGGGCATTGGAAATCTGGGGCTTCAACACAATTTGACTTTGATGTTCCAGGAACTGGAAAAGGCACATGTAAGTATGGACATAGTTCATTTCTGTGTTATCGATGAGTAATAAAAATATAAGCACATGTGGAGGATATAAAGGGCTTGAAGGTGAGGAGACAGATTATTTTCCAAAAATTACAGTACACATCACATTGTACTACAAACAAGACAACCAAGGACCACTGCTGTTATATGGGGACTTAATATATGTATAACATGAGTAAAAATGGTATGTGGGCAGTTAGTTCAGGTGGCAATCCTCCAGAGGGGCAGATGAACCTTGCTGCCTCCTCCTCCTCTTCCTCCCCCTCTTCTTTCCCCTTCTCTTCTTCCTCTTCCCCTTCCTCAACCTCTTTGGCAGATGCTGGAGGGAAAAGGAGGTCACCAGGGATTAAAAGGTCAAAGGACATTGCTTTCTATTTTTATTTGAGAATTTCTGCAGTTAGTAAGAAACCATAAAATTACTTTGGTTAAAGTAAGCTGGAAATGTTTTTAACTATACCTATGAAAAAAAAATTTAGCTTTTCTTCCTAAGAATAAAAACTGCCTTCCTAATTGGAGTCCAGCATAAACCATTATCCACAACTGCCTGAGAGAAGCAGGGTTAATCTAGGCCATATGTACTAAATGTCTATGAATCGTGGTTAGCATACTAATATCTCTATGTGGAGTTGAGGCCACTGAGATGGTCCTCAAAATCTGAGGAGGAGAATTATTTCCCAAGATGTCTTACCGCTGCACACATTCCTTCACCACTTCGTACTGGCCGATGGAAGCAGCTGTATGGAGATCCAAGGGGATGGCCAGCTGCTCCCAGCTGACCTGTGCACCTGGCCCATGCCACATAGACAAGCTGCGGGTCAGGAGTTCTGGCTCACTGGCTTCATCGCTGAGCTCCGACATCGTTGTGGAGGGAGGTCCAGGGGTTAGGTTTTTCTTTCCTGGTGGTTCCAGGGAATAAAACAAGACGGTCACACTCATACCCACAGTAGGTGGTTATGTCACAAGCTAGGACTGATTTAGCCAACTTTCTTACATTAAATATTGATTTTGTTCAGCCACTGTGGCTCAGTAGTTAAGCCCCAACCCATAAACTGGAAGGTCACTGGTTCAATTCCCTGAGAGAGCACATTCCCAGGTTGCAGGCCCGATCCCCAGTAGGAGATATGCAGAAGGCAGCGGACTGATGTTTCTCTCTCATCCATGATTCTATTTCTTTCTCCCTCTTCCTTTCTCTCTCTGAAATCAATAAAAACATCTTTTTTTTTTAATTGTATGATTTTGTGAGCTTGTCACCAGACAGAAAAAGAAGAGCATATATAGTGACTCATAACCTTCAGTGTTATTTCCCTCCATTAATCCTCAAGCCCCTCATTCTAGAAAGGGTATTTTCCAGGAATTCAAGAGGCCTGAAAACCTCCTGGATGGTTAATAAAGAAATGCTAATTGGGTCAGTGGACCAAATCAGCTCTGGGCGTGGGGGAAAGAACCCTGGACTTAGAGATCAAGATTTAGCTCTGCTGCCCTGGCCAGGTGGCTCAGCTGTTTGGAGCATCATCCCTTATGCCAAAATGTTGTAAGTTTGATTCCAGTCAGGGCACATACCTAGGCTGCGGGTTCCATCCCTGGTTGGGGCACAAACAGGAGGCAACCAATGGATGGTTCTCGCTCACATCGATGTTTTTCTCTCTCTGTCTCTCTCTTCCTCTCCCTAAAACAAACAAACAAACAAACAAACAAAACAACAGAAACATATCCTCTGGTGAGGATTAAAATAAATTAGCTCTGCTATTGGCATCTCCCATCCTACTTTTCACTGTCTAATGGACACATAATATCTCAAAAGGACTGCTATTCAAGACACATGGAAGACCGATTAAACAGTGGCACATTCAGAGGATGGAATGCCACTCAGCATTGAACAGAAAGAACAACAGTTGATACACACAACATACCACACAACACAGGAACCAATCTCAAACATACTGGGCTAAAAGCCAGACGCAAAGGCTACCTTCTGTATGATTCCATTTATATGACTTTCTGGAAAAAATAAAACTAAATAGTTGGAGAACAGACTAGTAGTACCAAGGGCTGGGGATGTGGGATGCACAAAGGGATAGCAGGAGGGGATTTGAGGGTGATGGACCTGTTCTGCATCTTAATTGGTGGATGTGTAACTCTATGTATTTATCAAAACTCATAGACCTGGACACCAAGGGAGTGAATTCTACTGTATGTACATTGTTTTAAACAAATAAAACTTGTAAAAAATTGAGAGCCCCTACCACAGGAACTAGGATCTGGTTGGTGTTCAGCAAATGTCAAGTAACTATGAATCTTCCTACTCATCCCTTGAAAATGGGAGAGATAGGACAATACCAGGAAGAGTGGGAATCTTACCCAAATCAAGGGCAAGTCATTAGCTTTTTAGTAAAACCCTCAGGTCCAGCCGAAACTGGTTTGGCTCAGTGGATAGAGCATCGGCCTGTGGACTGAAAGGTCCCGAGTTCAATTCTGGTCCAGGGCATGTACCTTGGTTGCAGGCACATCTGTGCAAGAGGCAGCTGATCGATGATTCTCTCTCATCGATGTTTCAAACTCTCTATCCCTCTCTCTTTCTCTCTGTAAAAAAATCAATAAAATATATAAAAAATAAAAATAAAACTCTCAGGTCCAGGAGTGACATCTGTCTCCTATTCTTCTCTGGGTGAAGTAGAAAGAAAAAACAAAGAAGGGCAAAGTCCAATTCAGAAGGCCTAAAGGTACCACAGATGCCGCTGGGACCTCACTCTCTACTAACGAATGTTTCCAAGCCCCCAGGAGACAGCCGAGATGGCCAAGACAACAAAGAAACTGCCGATCTGGGAGACAAAAGATTTGTAGGCCTTTTGCAAGAGTGTGTGTACATGTGCTAGGGCCTACAGGCAACAAAATTCAGAGCAAAACCCTGCCTCCTGGATCCACCACCTTTCACAGCTGGCAGGGCCTGAGCTCAAGCAGCTCTCACTTTGCAGGTGTGAGCCTTCAACCTGAGCAGTCCTGCCCCACAGCGCCTGGATTAAAAGCCAATGAAAAGCTGAGTGTCAGTTCATAGCTACTTTCAACCCCACCCCACCCCCCCTCAAGCCTCCTGTGGGTGTGTCTCTTCTACCCCAAATGCCTCCTCTTGGGTGGGGCCCATGTTCTCTCTCCTTTTATTGGATGCTCACATGTCTGACGCCCTGAAGAGTGCTGAGGGATAATCAGAACCAGGCCCCTACTCAAGAAGCTTACAGAGAATTTGGATGCGAAGGGACCGTAAAGCTATCATTACTTCGTTTTCACCCTGTCGCTGCCAAACGCAACATGACTGTATTTAAAACTTTTAGAAAATGTCTTTTGCATATCGCTTCCAGAACTTATCTCCAGGAAGTAGTACTTGGGATAGGAACTTTTTTCACTCTTACCGTTTGGCTCTGTCCATTTTGTAAAACAGTAAGTACCATTATTTTAAAAATAAGCAAAATGTTAACTTAAAAAAAAAAAAAAAAAAAAGGTGCCGGTGGTCACGCCCACAGGGAAAAGATCTACATAAGCTCCAGGGCACCCCCTGCGGTCCTAGTTCGCTGGCCTTCCCCGGAGCCGGGGCATCCCAATCTCCTCAGGTTCTGAGGAGGGTCCCTAGGGAAGAACCGGAGCACCTCCAGCACAGACGTCCCTTGCCGTCTCCTTCCAGCATCCCTACACGGTTCGGGGCTTCACCTTCCCGCTCCACAGCTGCAGAGGCGAAAGCTCCGCGTCCGAGCAAGCAGCAGGCTGGGACGCCCCGCCGCGGGCTGCGCCGACGGGCAGCAGGTGCCGGCACCAGGCGGGGCCGCCGTGGGTTCTACCTGCGCGGGCCTCGAGTCCTGGGTCGCCTCCGGCTAGCTGCCGCCACCAACTGCACACCCGCCGGCTGCTGCGCTCCTCCGGCTGGACCCACTCTGCGCCGCGCGCGTCCGGGACCCGTCCACGCCGGCTGCCTCAGCGGCTGGACCCGCGGCCCTGCTCCCGCCCCGGAAGTGGTTGCGGAGGCGCAGAGCACGCCGGGACGTTGGTTCGTTCGCGGAGCAGCTCTGAGCGTGGTGGAAATTCGCCGGTTCCACACCCGGACTTTCCGGTCAGCTCGCGTGGCTCTCTGAAGGACGCCCGCTACAACCAATGAGCTGGGAGAGTGCGCCTGCCCCGCCCCTCCACGAACGGCAGCAACCAATCCCATTGCAAAAGAGGCAAGACACGCCACGCCCCGAAAGAGGCGGGGCGGGGGCTGAAGGGGGGGGGGGTGTGGACGGTTGGCCGTGCCGTACAGTAAGTCCCCCCTGAGGGGGTATTCCGAAGGCGGTGAAAGGTTCAGTAGTTGCGCCCCGGCCCTAGGGGGCGAGAGCGACCGGAGGGACGCGCTGGAGGCTGTGTATAGCCCCGGTCGGGACAGCGTTGGGAGGGGAGGCGAGGCGGAGGCCTGAGGTGAGGGACCTCGGGCCTGCCGCCGCTGCAGAGAGAAATATCGGAAGTTGGACGGGACGCGGAGGAGACAGGGGTTGGGAGTGTGTGGCTGGCAGGACAGATGCTGGGTTTTCCGGTTTCCGAGCTTTAGCATTTAAAAGCCTGACGGGGCAGGCCGTTGGCGTCTAGTTGTCATGACAACCAACCGCCCAGTGGCAGGGAAGACAAGGGTGGGACTTTGGGCGGGGCTAACGGGCTGCAGCCAAGAAACGGACGTGGATTTAGAGTCAGGATTCCGAGGAAACTTGGAATGCCAGTTTGGGTAGCTTTTGGTTTAACTCTCATCTGCTGGATAAGCCAAGCTCCTTCGCTTGGAGTTCAGGACTCTTCACGATCTGGTCCGTTCCCCCCCCCCCCCCCCGCAAATTCCAGCAATTGACACCTTTCCACCCCAAACTTATTGGGCAATTTTCATTCCCCTGAGATACTACATGTTCTCCTGCAGCCCAGTGCCTTCCCCTTTCTCTTCATTGCCTTGTCCACCTAAAGAACTTACCAGTCTCTGATAGTCCCCTTCATCTGTTGTCCTCTGAACATCCCTGCAGCCAGAGGACATCCATAATGTATGTATTACATGCGTCCACACTCTGCAGTTTCCAGTTCTGGGTGCACCAAACTCCTGTCCCCACTCCTATAAGCACAGAAAAAGCAAGAAGCCCCACTGCTGCTACACTGATGGGAGCCTTGTTGCAGAGTGGTAGCCAGCTAGGGGTGGAGCAGGAGTGTTCTCTTCCCATTTTATAGGCACAGTCTCCATACTGCCCTGCACACACACACACACACACACACACACACACACTCACACACACAGTGCAGGGCATAGTGCCTCGCACTCAGTAAGAGGAACCTGCAGAACCAGAAGGGAAATGAGGTAGGAGTTTTCATCCCCCACAAAGTGGTAGATTCTTTGAAAAGGCACCCCCAGTCTCTTCCCCCTCCCCGTGCCTCACCCTCCACCCCCAGCTCTTGACCCCTGGCCCCTGGATCCTGTCACCTTACCCTGCCTTCTCTATAGGGTTCCTTGGATGATGGCACACTGAGAAACTTCCTCTGAGCCCAGGCCCCCATGGCATCCCAAGACAAAGATGTAGAGCCCTCACTGCCCTCTCCATGTGTCTCCCGGATGGGGCCCTGGGAGGCCATTCTTGAGGCTGTCAGGGAGCAGCTTCCATCTCTGGACTCAGATTCCTCTTTGGTAAGTAAGTACCTTCTTCCCATGTCATCTTAGGCCCTGATTGCTCTTCTTTTCCTATGACAAATGTGATGATGACACGTGGAAGGCTATGGAGCTTATTAGCTCTGCATTCATCATCACTGTTTCAGTTCTCTGAATATATTTATTGGTGCTCAGCATCCTCCTGGGTCTTACTAGTGACCCC